CTAAGTCGACGGTCACAAAAACTCGAAAAGGGAAGAGATTAATTAGGATTTTCATTGCTGAAATTACCACTAGTTAATACATCTACCGGTGCAATAGTAAAGTCCTCACAGTCAACTCTGTAACGACAACACAGGAAGGCATCTCGCGTTCAGTCAGGGTGGAAGATAAATCTCCACGACAGAGGATGATCATTCACAGAGAGGATAGAATCAGCACAACAATTTTGACTTGTCAAAACCATCCTGGTAGAAGGAGCTTCTATAAAAAAATGCGTCAGGTATGTTCGCGGAGGAACTGTTAAGTGTCCACTTAGGCCTTTCTGATTTCGGTAATTTTGCGGCCGAAGGGCAATTATCACTTCTGCCCAGTGAAAACATCTTCACCAAGTATAATCACACAGGACCTGGACTATCACAATTTTTGTCCCTAAACAGGGTTTATTTTTTGTTATAAAAACAAAAAGACCTGAAACATAAAATTTAGTTTAGCTGGTCATTCAGCCTAATGCTTGAAACGTTGAGCAATGGGTGCGGAACCAGTCGACAGCGACCCAATCTCTTCCACCATTGTTCGCTGTTGGACACGGCAATGAGTACCCACGGACTACAGGTAGCTTTGCGCTAAGTTCCAAGCGGGTACGTATTCCCCTGTCCTCGCCCTTAACTCCAACCCTCCTAACTTGAACCACTTCTGGAATTTAGACAAGCCTGCCTGTAATGAGGGAGGACTCACTTCGCACGCCCTACCGTCTTCTCTTCTTGGTGTGCAGCCGAATACCGGAGCTCCAGGTCAGAGTAGAACTCCCGCATACGTCTTGCGCTTCGGGATTAATCACTGACTGCCACTCGCATGAGATTTCGATGTAAAGGAATACGAAAATAGCCTGAGGTCCTACAGAAAATGAGTAATTTTAAATAAACTGGTAAAGTTGTAATCATTTTCCAAATAAAATCAAATATTGTGAGGAGTAAGGTGACTGATGCAGAAAACGGACTATAAAAACCTGCTCCGTCTTGTGAAATTCATCCTAACTGAGCGCGCATACACACTCCAGCTCGATTGTCGTAAGCAACTGCGTACCCCACAGCGTGGTTTGCCCAAAACACGTGCATAAGGTGGCAGGTGAGGTTAAGACTGCCATAGTGGCACTGGCAAAGTGAGTCGTATGTATGCTACAGGAGTAGTCTGGTGTGTCGCGGAGCAGTAATCTGATGCGAGCATTTCGGATTATGTTCATACGTGGCCGATGGGTGGGATGAACGAGGTGTTTTGAAGGGGTCTCAGCTGTGTCCTTTTACTGAATATATCATGGATGCTCGTGTGTCTGAACAGACCTGTGCAACGACATACTGTCAGAAAGCAGTGGGGACAACAGGAACGTGAGCTTCGGGTGTATGCTGCAGCTCCTGACACTTGTTCGCCGGTTTTAGTGTGCCAGACGCCCCATCCCGATGCGGCATTCAAATGTAAGCTGGCAGTAAGGATATGGCTGTGTGGACGGAGGTAATGGATACATAGGAGCTTTCGGGTATGAAAGGTAGGTTATTTGTGGTGAGACATCAGTGGACGCCGGTTTCGTGTATGCAGCGCCGAAAAGGACCCAAGCGACATCTGAATGTCCTGAGGCACTGTGGGCAGGTGAGACGCATGCGACGGGCGTATTTCGGGCCCCAGGCACTGGTTCACCGGCCTCAGTGCAATGGATTCGTAACTGACTGATCGAGCCGATACGGGACTCGAATGCACGGTTACAATGGGGCTGGGTTGGAATTGAGTCAAAATCGCTGGAGCGGAGGGGCGTTGATGGTGATGGTTGGCGGGAGTGTCCGCACTGAAGACGATGATGATGGTGGTCTTTTATGAGTTGTGAGGTACGTTGGTCAAGCTGCAATTGTACTGGGATGGTCGTTGGCAAAGGCCACACGATGGTAGGCTTTGGGTGCTTGTGTTGTATGTCCGCGATACCGGATTATTGCGATCATCTCTCTCTGCCTTGGCAGCCGCTACTCAAGTTGGCTTCGGAGATGCCAGGCCTGTACGTCTCGAGCGAGGCTCTCTAGGTCTCAGAATTGATTTGAAAGTGCTGGACGCAGGTCTTTTGGGTGTCTATGTGAGAATGCTTTTGTCCACTTTGACTATGAGCACACGCGGCGAAATCGTTGTAGGATAGCTGTTTGGGCAGGCGTCCGTCGTCCATCCTCACAACTTGATCACCCCAACTGGCTTGTAGCGTGCTCATCGTGGAGCAAAAAACTGAGGATTCCAATTCTTTTCAGAACTTCGTTGTCGGGAAACCCATCCTTCCATCTCACCTTCAGTATTAAGAGTCAGCTGACGCAAACATGACCGCGTTTCCTTGCCTGGGTTTCATATATAGTCCACGTCTCCATCCCATGACCGTTTGGCCTTCGCGTCCGACAATATCCATTGTGTGCTCCACAGCAAGGTGAGAGCAGGAATGGTGACTGGCGCGTGAATTCGTTTATAGTGGGAGTAGACTTGAGCAGCATCCATGGCATTCTCTCCTCCTCCCCACCTGGACCAGGCGTCAAGACACACTCAAGAAGACCGGAGAGGACGCAGGTGACTGGCAAGGCCGGACCCGCACCTAGGCGTACCACCACACCTCCTGGTTCAGAAAAACACTTGAACAGGACTTTAACCAAAAGCAAAAATGGGTCAGGATCATTGTCAAGTTAACAACCTTGTGTAGCCGCAGTTGAATGCTGACGATAATACCACACGCCCCCAAATTGAGTTCTGTAGCCTATCAGATGCCTGGCCGACTTTGAAGATCCGACTTGTGATTTTGCCCCGAAAGTGCAAATCTTTCCACTGACGTGAGGCGAGTCCCACCGACACTAATGCAGAGATCATTGTAGACAGTATTTGGCGCCGGTTGATGCACCACCACTACCTTCTCTGCGTAGATGGTCAGTCCGAGGTTGGGGCAGCCTGGGGGTGAAGACGGTCAACACCACCGCGTTTCCTCTTCCGTTGTGATGTTTACCGCACAGTCACCCATTAGCAAGCAATAGTGGACGCTGGCCCTGGGCATTAACGAAGACGCCTGTATGCAATTGCGCAGTCCTACTTTACCCTACTCGTTACTGCTAATTTGTCAGACACTGCCGTGTAGACCGTGGCGTGCGTCATCATTCCGTCGTAAGGTTGTCCTATCAAATGTGTAAGTCCCTCCGGACATCTGAATTTCAGCCAGATGCTCTAGTCTATCTTGATTCACTGTGTCGTGGCCTTTCGTCAGATTCTTGGTTCAGGAACGCCTAGATACCCGCGTAGTGGTGGTCGGGGCATATACACATTAAATGCCCGAGTCACTACTAGCCCAAGTGATTTTCGTAGTCATAAATCCGAACAGTTATTTCTACGCTGTCATGTTACACGAATAATTTCACATGGAAAGCTCAGGAACGGAAATTACGGTTCGCGGCGCTACTAATTAAGACACTTAGATTCGAGGCAGAAGAGCGTAAGGCAGCGACAAGCTGCCACGAATCCCACCAGCGTCAGGGCAGCGTTTAATTTTACTAGCTTTCTGTTTCACCCGGCTCCAAGCTAACGATTATAACTGATATCCCTGAGGGTCTAGTCAAATTCTTGCAGCTCAGCATAACACCGCAGTCGCGGATTCACCAGCTGCAACGGCGTTATTTCCAGCTCACGGGTTTCCTTCGACCGATGCCAACCGAATGACCGGAACTTTAACAAAGGGAACAGTATTCAAACATTCACGCCAATAGGTGTATCCATTGGTGCTTAACAAAACTCCCCGGCCTTACCAAACTTCTCCCGCTTGCTATCGCCACGGTGCTCCTTGGAATTTGGTCACTGAGTGTTTTTGGATCGATAGGGTACGGTAATATAGGTCCCCGTTCTACACGTGGTCTTGCGGTAAATTCGAGGGTGTGGGGTTAAAGTTGGGACGCAGGAATAGGTACCTTTATCCTGTTATCTAACACAAGGCCACCTGTAGTGTGGGGTCCTATTTCCCTTGTCCAGGCTTAGGCTCCTTCCCGCATCGCTGGGATTCAGCTCTCGCCTCAAATAGAGGAATTGATCGGTCTCAGGTGGGACAGTGAGCGGTCCTCATCCCAGGCGCACACATGACGTGAACTGCGCTGTAAACCCTCGAAAGTCCATTGTGTATTTGTAGAGGGAATGAATGAGACGCCATCATTCGGATGGTGGAGCCATTCGACTTCTGAGTATCGCCGTGTGGCCCAACTCGTCAAATCTCAAGGAGACTGCACGATTTAATATAGCAACGTAAAAACACAAGAGCTTCTGCTGCTAGACACTACCCTCATCTAAATGGCATCATCTGTCACCTCCCCAAGGGCCAGCTTGTTGAGGGTAAGCTAACTTTGGACAGGACACGGAGTTCAAGCTGGGACTTAACAAATTTGACAGACATCGTCATTTTGTGCCCAACAGGAAGATTTAGACGACAAATCGACTTCTGTGTGCAGAGGTCGTGATAATACCTGACCTAAGCAGGCCTGGACAAACGGACAAAACCCCTCAGATCTTTGGATACAGTGAGCACTAGACAAATAACCCACGTCTCTTGTCGCCACTATAATGTATATAGAGATCCCTATGCAACACCAGTCTGGGACAGATAATTAGACACGACAAGTCAAGGCAAGGAGAAACAGCGTCCGTTTTTTCTCTGTCCGGCGTCTCAGAGTTTTTGTTTCCAGACTCGTACTTCTGTGTCCCAAGGCAAGTAAAAGAAGAAAACAACACTATAAAATGCTCTATTTACGAAAACGTAGGTTCGCTGAAACCCAAGGGGGTCCACGAAACCTGATTGATGCTCATCGTAGCAAAAATAATCGTTCATCTGGCACAAAGAAGTACAAAGAGGGCATGATCGACATAAAATGTAGCGAATTTTACACAACATTGTTACATAAATGCCTTTTCATTGGGGGTGGATAGGGAAGAAGGTCGAAGGGCTGCAGAATGTACACTTTTAGTGCGCTCCGGGTGTCGTGCGCATCCGAAGGCCCGCAAAGATGTGCCCCAAATCCACCATTGCGAAGGCAGAATGGGAAAGAAGCCGGTAAACGTGTTTGAGACCGTTTTGAAGAACCTCCCTGACAGCGCTCTGCAGGTTGACTGAAAGAAAAATGTAAACATGTCAGGTCTGTGTGAGTTTCCCACATTATGGCAATTCGCAGTCCGCCCAGTTGTGTAATGGCAGACTGGTGGGCTAAGAGCCAGGCCGAAGCGGATCCCTCTTGACGTGACCTACGGCACTCTCACGCATGCAAAATTCACGCGGCTCAACCCTGTTGTGTGAAATCCTGACGCTTGTGTTTGGGGGATAAGGTCGTGCGTGTGGCGCGCGCAGACAAGGTCACTAGATATGTCAGCCACCATGCCCATTCCTCGCACTAGTCAACTGACCGGCTCGGACAGTGGCTGGGGCCTGGGAATGGGAAGGGAGAGTAGGATCGACGACTCAGTGCATCTTCCTCACTATAAACAATTTGGCATGCTTGGAGCTATCACGGGGCGCTAAAAGCCGTGGCTTCGAAGGTTGCCAACTGACGGAATAATCCGGACCTCCAAGTCAGCTCAGTGTTTGTTTGCATGGAGTGGTGGGCTGGCGGACTCAGAGTCAGGCTTCAATGGTTCCTTCTTAATGTGGCCTTTATGGCACTCCCACTGCGTGGGATCCGAGCCGGATGTGGGCGGCACGCCTAGGTGCAGCTTCGGCCGTGCCAGCCCCTCTTCTGTTACTGTTGGTTAAAAAACTTGGTCATTTACTGGGTAGACCATGAAGTGTGGAGTGGAACGCCAAGGTGCGGGCTCGATCGTGTCATCCACTTACGGCTTTTCCAGCCTCCGGTCTTCTTGACTTTGTCTTGACACCGAATTCGGGAGGCAGCAGTTGAGAGTGCGACATATGCTGCGCAAGTCTACCCTCACTATACACTAATTCATGCGCAAGTCGCCGTCCCTGCTCCGCCTTGCTGTGGAGCACACGGTGAACATGGTCGGAAACGACGGTCAAACTGCTGTCATAGCAACCCGGACGCGTTAGAAGTCGTGACTTAGAGGGTTACCAATAGATCAGATAACTCGGTCCTCCGGACTTCAGCGTCAGGATGCGGGGCCGTCAGTATCGCTTCGACCAGAAACAGTCCGTCCGAAGAAAAGACTCCTTACTAATGATGACTTAATCCCCAACTCAGACAGACAACAGGAGTTTGACGGGCGGCCGCATTTAATGAAGTGCCGCTTTCGATGAGCATTGAACACACGGAAAGCAGGCAGATGACCCTCGCTCCAGGGGACGGTATTGAGGGGTCGATCATCCAGACATCCGCGTGCAAATCACTGATACTAGCGATAAAGAAGAGGCACTTACGGCTCGGTGATGACCGACGAGACAACGCCCCGGTCAATAACAACAACATACCGGCAACATATGACTAAAACAGCCTCTAGTTGCCTTCTGCTGAAAATACTGTTAGGTATTATCTACCCCACCAGTCCCAATTGTCCTTTTGTTCCGAATGTATTGGTTAACTACATGCTAGTTAGTGACGATATAGGTTATTCGATTTTTGTCTGAATACATGATCAAGACTGATAATGAAGGCAGGATTTCAATTAATTTGTCAGCTCTTCTGGTAGTTTGCCCAAAGTCATCAGCGATGGCCATCTTAATCGGCTTGCTTTTGGGGGTTGCGTGGTGGGTTGAGCAGACCACTTTAGTGATTGGTGCTACTGTGTATCTGGAGATGTCCGACTAGCTTACTCCTGCCGTGAGCGGTGACTATGGGACAGGTTACGGCGATATTAAATATACCGTTGATAATAGGTGTTTCCTGGCAGGTTTGGAATGATCCAGCTGATTCCATCAAGGCCGCCGAGTTTTTCAAAAGAAGGAATTATTTACGCCTGTCGAAGCAACTCTTCCATAGAGACGTCGATACAAACGCATGCATGCAACATGGCTAAAAACGGCGATTCAAATATATCTTGAAGTATCCTCGAAGTGAATACGAGGATTAGGAAACGCCTGAGTAGGATCGACACAGGCATGATAAACAGACGGAAAAACTGTAAAAAGCATTATTCGAAGCCAGTCGAATGTTCAACATCAAGGTGCAACGAAAAGCATGCAAGACTGCAGTGCTGAGGCCCAACACCGCCTCTGTCAGCGTGTGTCCACTATGATGTCACGATCGAGTTTCGGTTTCAGACACTTAAATCTACCAAAATAGAGACAACAGCAGAGCACAGAGGGCAGTCGTCAACAGTGCAGATGCGGTGCCAGTTTGCTCCCAATGTGATGACATGCTCCAATCGGGCAATGTCTAGTTTAACACCCGGGAATCTATTGCAGTAGGGCTGAAAAACTAGTGACCGGAGGTCTGGCGAGCATTTGTCATGCCAGACTTCTCTACCCACACTGTACTCGCGAACTCGGTCGCTGGCGATGTGCACATATAAGAGAACATTGGCTGAAACATCCTTCACCGCTCACAGACGCATCACCCACTCAATAATCGCCCGTGCAAAAATCGTGAGATCAAGGTCACCAGTGTCGGAGGTGATGGGCGACGAATGTGTCGAAGTTTGTGTGTGGCATGCGTTAGGCGGAGGCCCACGCCGAAATGGCCTTGCATCCATTCTCAAACCCAGCAAGCTGACAGGCTCGGAAAAGCCATAGGTGTACTGGGAATGCAAAAGGAAAACAGGCTGGCACCGAGATATCTTCCTAACGACAATATCACCATGGAAACGATCCTCGGCAATCTGATTAAGAGGACAACGACAATCGAAATATGATCATCCGACAAGCGCATCTCTGGAAATCTTTCCCATGTAAGTATGTTAAAAGAAATCGCATGTTTTCATGCCCACGGAAGTATGGATTCAACGTTTTGCCCGGAAAGACAAATACAACATTAACAAGCACTTGTTCTTCCAGAATAAATATCTAACCTTAGTAACGAGGCATATTGTGACTATTTTTGATTTGGAGGAAAAAGGTTTGGCGAAGAGGGCGTGCTAAACGACAGGGAGGACAATACTTGCCTGGTGTTTCCGAGGCCGTCCTAGCTGTGGGCTCCAGAAGGTGACGGAAGAAGATGAGCTGCCGATAGAGTTGAGCCTCAGAATACCGTTGGCGCAACACGCTCTGGCCTCCGCAGGCAGGGCATAGGGGTCTTCCGGCAGCCGTCCAGAGGCCGGATGCGCCGGTGCCGGAAATCCGCTTTGTTTCCTCATCTGAGTCGTCGGTGGCAGTTGTGCTACTATTCACAGGCGGACAGGCGAGATTACGAGTGGCCAGACCGCAGGCGGGGTCCTCGCAGACGAGCCAGCCCGTCTCGTAGTCGACAATGTGTCGGCGAGCCTGTAGCACGAGTCTGTTTACCACAGCGCAAGCCTGAGATGGGCTCTTTAGAAGGTTTTCACCACATTGGGGACACTGAGGGAGAAAAAAGGGTAGCAATAGCCGATCAGCAATGCCGTTAAGCATTGGTGGGTGAATATGAAGCAGCCATCTCGGTGAAAAACCCAGCCCTCGTTTTGTTGGAACTGTGGTATTCGAAATAGCATTTACATTTAACCCCAATTGAAAGTCCGGAAAACTGGTTTAGGAGCAATGTGCAATGTCACATTGAGCACACCGTTTGGTAATTCACCCGTCACAATCTCCTGCAGTCATCCTTACGTGATTCTGTTTGGTTGCTGAGTGGGAGACTTTGGTGGTCGGTGTCCAGGTGCAGCAGGTGTCCGACGACCCTTTCCTGAGTTCTAAGTATAGACTGGACGTGACAAAGCAGGCGATTGATCTACCTGAACATCAAGAAGGTGGAGCTGGTCCAACGTAATAGTTTTCGTGGGTAGGTAGGCGACGTAGGTTAACGTTTCGCAGTTACACGTGCACTCTTCCATCCATTAAGTCCCACGTTGGAGTCACAAAGACTTCAAGAGTGCGCGAGTTACCATGGTTTTCTGGTCGGCAGGTTCAGCTTTGAGGGACCTTAACATGCGCGGAGCGGAGGCACACAGGAGCGCACATGCAGTGGAAGTAAAGGCGCCATCTACCTTACTTAATCTTCAGAGGCTCATGAAATCACAAAAAGGGTAAACATTTGGCAGTAGAAACGTAAAGCCGACTTGAAGAGTTTTTCCGATCTAAACATAGGGAATTCTTGTACTAACAGGCGCACACTGATGAATTGGCTTCCCAAAACAAACAAGATCTGAAAGACTGGTAGAGGTTACGAACAGGCAACCACCTGCCAGTTTAAGTGAAGACAGAATATGCCGCCCATTACTTGTCGTCATCACCTTCGCGGTTAAGAATCTTATTTGCGATGCGCTGCGAGCTCAAGTGGGACGATCTCAACTCCGTCGGAAGGGGAGTTCCGAAGTGGCGGACCAGTCAAACTAAAAAAATACGCCAGGAAAGCCTGCGGCAAAGGTGAGTATTGCCGATAAAGGTAAGGCGGACCAGAGCGACCGTTTTTGGGGTTTACCTGTCATCGTTAGTCAGTCACATCCGAGACGGCTGGAGGGCACCGACCGCAGTATCGAAACGGAAGCCCCAAGGCAAAACGTAGGGCGCATATTTTGTCCTGCAATCAGGATGCATCACTGAGCGACACTATCACGAGACGATGCTAGGGCGACGGAGGCCATATTGTTCAAAGAAAAACCCGTATCGAAAAACACTTCCCGAGGAAGTAAATACCTCTTTAAAAAACTACCTTTCGCAAATTTTCAGTGCGCGCATTCCTGCGGAAGCCGGTGGGCGTAAGCGAAAACAACGTAGGACGTTTTCGGTGTCCCTGAGGGATCAAACGGACAGTAAGAACACAAACACATGACTAGATTCTCCAGACCGCCACGCTGACAGGTCCTGGCAGTCTGTCAATATGCTGTACCGTCCTTGTCTTTGACGATGTTCCATCCTGTACATATTGCTAGTCACCAAGCGACTTCGCGGGAACTTTATAATGAGCCCCGAGGCGGTCATGTCCTGCAATATGGTCAGTGAACGCAATTCCGTCACAGGAAAACAGAGATGACTACGGGGAGAGAGCGAAAAAGACTACACGAACGCCCGTATGAAAACTGGACAGAAGCAAAATGGGGGTGAATATTCTAGTCAAAGGTACTTTTTAACACGTGCAGGATCACGGGTTAGATTTCACTGCCTCGGAGGTAATGGCGGATATATGTGATTGGAAATGGGACTTTTGAGAAATCAGTCAATAGACGCACAGATCTCTAAAGTGCATACACTGTACCGACCGTCTATTGGTTCAAGCGACCTAAAACTGACGGTGGCATTGAAGGAATCAGCAAAGTTTGTGGATCAGGCTTTCTCAAAAGTGAAATGAGCAAAATCAGTATCGGCAACCTTCACAAGCTCATATCTGCACTTGTCTGTTGAACAGTCTGCAAGTCAAGTAAACTTAATCTCCAAAAAACTCTCTGACCGGCCAGAAACGCACTGGGGAAAATAAAAGTCAGGCATGGTCGTGCATAGACAAGTGACGTGCGGCTTACCACCCAGGTGGCCAGGCCGGCCTGTGAGAAGGGAGACATTCGAAGTTCTGCCACGCCAGTACAGCCAGTCTCCTTCTGCCGGGGACAGACGACAGTGAGGGGATCAGCCTCGCTCATGAAAGCGCCCGAGAAGAAGGAACCACCGTCATCGTAGTTCTCCACCTGTGATAAGAGGGGACTGGCATTCAGAGAGGGGGAGAAGGATCATCCGTAACGCAGAAATGTGTTGGGATTTGCCAGAACTATTAAAAGAGCCTTCAGCTGGGAGCCTGATACAGGTTGCGTCCTCTCAAAACCAAACAGACCAACTGGCAATATGCTGACACAGACGTCCAGGGTTCAGTTAAGAGAGGCTAACCAAAGTTATGGTAATAACAATGGGTTAAAATGACTGAAGCAGAAAAAGTTGGTGTGGAAAAACGGCGGACCTGTTAAGGAGAGTTCGACGGGCTTGTTTATAAACCTACAGTATGCAAACGACCCTTTCGTGAATGACCAAACGAATCGTCAAGACATCTTGTAGGCGTCACAACTCTGGGCGGCGTCCTAAAAGACACAGGCACTCGTGTCCAGAATTAGTTTCTCGACACCATTAGGCGTGACGGGCAGAGAACGTGTCTGATTTTTGTCGCAAAAGATGGGAAGATTATCAACGACAGAAGCCGATACCCTGTAACAATACACGAAAGGACCCTACAGCTTATGCTATCCTGTCGAGGCAAGTCATTCCCAAAGTTGGTCTAAACATCGTTCTGCCCCCTAAATTATACGTCAGAGGCCGTGGTACTGAGTCCAGGGTCGCTGTAACAATCTGGACGAGTGTGGCGAATCTAATGTAGCGGATGTGATGATGATGTGCTGATCGAGTGTCCTAGTCTGATGACTTTTCGGTGATTGTTGTTACGGTGTCGTGAAAAGCGAAATTCAGTGTTTTGAAATGGGACACAAGAACTACTGCTGCAGGTACCGGTGGTTTCTAGTTACCTTCAAAGTCAAACTTAGTGAAGTCAGGCCAAAAGGGAATTTGCCGCGAAATTCTACACGTTAGGTAGGGTCCTGTCTAAGACGCCAACATAGGTACTTGCCACACGGGAATAACCTAAAGACTTACCCCCCCCCCCTCCAATATATGACAACTTGTCCGTATCATACAATGACGGCCACCAATGACCGGGGAAGCAGCGACGAATTCAGCACGAACCGTACTTTCGGGACATCGGACTTAGTCTATTGTTTCACAACAATCGTATGCCAGCGACAAGATAAATATCAAGTCAACTGCATATGGGCGTAGGCGTAACGGCTAAGCAGGCTAAACCAACGCCTGTGAGTGTCACACACGTGTTGTCCCTTTGCCCCGCACAAAGCGGACCTCATACCGGTGGGAGTTGCCATAAAGGACAACGTGGTCCGCGGCCCTCGGACCTGTGGAAGACAAAGCTACCAGTAAAGTTGACAACCCCAAGCCACGGCTTTTAGCAAGTGGTGACAACTCAAAAGTGCGCCAGTCGAATTGCAGTCGGTCTCGGCGTAAAGCTTCCGTCTGAGACGTGCTGCAACCCGCTGTGACTCCGGCACAACACCGCAGCTCGTCTTGGGAGCCCTTACGAGGAGAAAGCTAATAGGGGACCGTGCCTTAGTAAGAGATGCAGATCCACAGGGACAGGCAGGCATGTATGTGGTGTTGACTTTAGTCAAAAAGGCCCCTTATGAGCATAGTGCTGCCTGGGTGCAAGAGGCCCAACATCTGATGTGAGGTCTGAACCACTTTCATCCCCAATAAAGAGAGATTGCGACTGCGCACACTAAACGCAGAATGACCTGGATGTTAAATGCACCAGCCGCACATCTCCATGCCAACCTTTTAAATTTAAATATAATAGAATCATGGGTGAGGCAGGTCAAGTGATGTGGCTCTACCAACCTGCGCAGGTCTCATACAAGACTTTTTATAGATACGCACATACTCTTCCCGGCTAAATGACAGCTATCAGCACCATCTCGGTGGACTTACCGTAATCTAGGCCCGAGATAATCCAGACCGTTTTGCCTGCCAAGTTAATTATCTGAGGTCATCCCACAGCTTAATTCTCAGTTTCCACCTTCCAGTTCTTTCCACCTTAAACGGAGTGCAGGAACCCCCTTAACTGACGAGCCCTTGTTTATTCAACTACTTATAGTATTATTTTGCCAGCAACTAAGTGCAACTCTATGTTCGCCAAGTGGCCCACGGGATAGGATAGGTTAGGTCAAATGTCTAGCATACTGAAAAAGAATTTATGGGAGCTATAGGACATAGATGCCTGGACATCAACGGTGGTGAGACGGTGTTTAGGAAATAGGAAGCTGTTGCAAATCTAATCAGCAATCAGCATCTCTGACATTGAGGTTTCTGCCTGATAAAGTTAAGTTAGAACTGCTGGGTGGGTAGTGGGGTTTGCCTGATGATCAACAGCACACAAGTACGTCGACACCTGGTGTCCAGACGTACTTTCAGCGCCCCGTCAGATAGATAATAAGCCAGCTCCTATCTTTCAAGATGATATCTGGGCTTACCGGAAGACAGAACGGCGCGGTTGACAATAAAAAGATTTATGGAGAGTAAAAACCTCACTTGGTCCTAAAACGGAGTAGTTCGAGATCTATCCAGTTGTACAGGTCGGAAATCTTGAGAGATGACAAAAAGCAACCGAGGTTAATGTCACTCCTATGCCATCAACGTACTAATAACCAAAATTGCTCCTCATTTATTCTCAAAAATTTCCCTCTCCTTCTCCCCCCTTCTGTCCCATTTCCAGTTTACTGGCCTTTTCCCACCATGGTAATAGTATGAGATCAACAGCTTGAGGCGAAGAGCTCCACATTCAGGCTCGCAGCTGACTGGGATCCAGGCGCTTACCTCATTAAGACCCTCTTCACCGGCAGAGGCCATGGTTCGACGGTAGGCAGTCGGGTCCAGACCCAAGCAATCAGCAATGTGCGCCGGAGAGGTGCCCTCTATGGGCGCAACGAGACGGGAGACGACGGGATGGATCTGATGCGCTAGGTAGTATTGTACATCTACTTTGAGGCTGACGGGCTGCTGCGTCTTGTGATTCTCGGAATCGCCTATGAAGACGGAAAGGAATGCACATATGTAAAACTCGACAATTAAGACTGCCGCCTGAAGCCAGGCATCTTTCATGTTAATCGCAGACTTACTACACAATAAAACAAGAACCCTCGGGTGGCGCATATCCCATCCCAGTGAGGCAATCTTTAACAAAACTTTTGCCCATTATCAGAAAACAAATCTAACAGCCCAGCGGTCAGGCCGACCTCACATCAATCGGTGGGCAGGTGTGGTTGGCTGACCGCGGCAAGCAACGCAGCAAGGGTAGCTTTGATAGATCTACTAATTTCAGCAAATCCTCCTCCTGTAAATTCAGAAATAGGTCTAGTTGGCGATATGCTTATCAGCGGGCCCCATGTACCAGCAATTTCAGTTCGCCAGACGAACGCAGAACAGTTGCTTAATGAGCATAAGCATCAGGCTCAGTACAGAGAAAAGGCGTATTCGTCAATCTTTAGAGTCAGCGGAATTCCTCATCGTGCGCAAGGCAGGAAAGTGCTGAAAACAAACTGGAAACAGATAACCCGAGCAGGAGCAGTTAGACTCGACAGTGTGGGGATCATTTTGCACTTAGAGGGAATGAAGCAAGGTGAGTAAACTCTGACGGAGAATGTATGGCAGGGGGTCAATGAGATGGTTAGTGGACAGCCTGGCCAACAGCAGGGGCCGCAGCAGATGGTGAAACTGACAAAGCATAGTAATAAAAATCCCGATGACCTGTGTGTGGGGGCGCGTCAGACGTTGTGCACTTGATCTAATAAGGGGTTACTTTAAAAGATCTTTTCTCATGCAAAGTGTGGTTCTTGAGGTGTTCTTGGGTGAGATCGACATTACCAAGTGAATACCTGTGCTGGTAAATGACGCAAACCACAAATACGACCTTCTGCGTCTTTGTCTGACAGAGGCCATTAGTCCAAGTGATTAAAGTTCATTATGAAAGCTTTTGTGAACCTAAATATCGACTGCCAAGGTCATGGGAGTCTAGTGCGGCCAGCGTAATTGATCGCATTATCTTGGAGAGGGCAGAAACACCACCGCCTGTAGAAATCCTAATCTGGAGGTCTGTGCAATTTTACCCCTACAACGGCAATAACGTGTAGAAACAAAGGAATATTTTGCGCATAGCCACGAAATGGACGACTCTGTCTCTCCGACAATGATAAGATATCCTTTTTGTGCAAATATGCGGTCTAATGAGGAATTACACGCGGTAGTTTGATAGGAATAAGATGTCGCGCAGAAATTGCCTCAATCTTCCCATCGTGAACTTGTGCGAAAACAGAATCAGGCCGACCGGAGATGAGAGATCGGGCGTAGTCGTTGACATGAATGGATGCAAAACGATTGGTGGAGAAACTATGTGCACAAGTGGTTGATTCTCCTGAATACAAGCTTGGGTAATCCAAGCACATGTAAAGAGGAGAGAGGAAGTGGTTGACAGGGATACCGAAATTTTCTTAAGGATAGTGTTGGAGGCGGCTAAGTTTACCAATTTGATCTGATTGCACAATGCATCCATTTCGCTCGCACTGTGTCCTGCAACACATGATAGGGACCTCCCATAGAGACCGGTACAATATTTCAGAGATGAAACATCAAATTAGTGTTAATCAGTCAGAATGAAGCTTTATATGCCTGGTCCGAAAATTGACGTGAATATTTGAACCGAAATCCATCAGCTACATCTATGGTGTAGCATTTTATGAATACTGCGCAGTTATTACGCTGTAGTTGATGGATTTCAGCTCAAATGTTCATATAAACTGCCGGACTGAGCCTATCAAGCTTCAATCCGAATGATTCATCCCGAAGTTAACGCATTACGTTCCGAAGTAATTATAAAATTTGACATTTTAAAATTTGATTATCTGTCAGAAGGTACTCGGGGAACGTAGGGGGAGGCACTGATGAGCCGAACCCATCGTAGCTTTCATGCGGTGGCAGAAAACGTGCCTGGGCTCTCAGCTAGTTCCTGTGCTGTCGGTACGGTAAATCGTGTACCTAGTACAATACTCAACAATGGGCTTAACTGATAATTTTTGCTTCTAATGCTGGGTATTTAGGATGGCACACTATACCGCGTGTCTCGTAGTAGCAAACATTGGTCCTAAGGCCCTCTGTGGACTGTCACGGTATGGCAGATGAATAAAAGCAAATCCGGCATGGCAAAAGCAAAAGGGGCTGAGATGGTTTCTTTTGGCTTATTTGTCGTTGTCGGAAAGCAATAATACAAGATAAAAAGCTTGAGTGCGTGCTTCAGGCGGTAGATCGAATGGCTCAATGGACGACTGGGTATGGATTTGAGCCTCGGATCTTAGAGACCTGCAGTTTGGGTATAACTGACCGACGGGGCAGATTGATCATAAATTACGGTTCTGGTGTCCTTTGTTGGCTCTGGATTGAATTCAAAGGCACCTCGGAACGAGTATATCTCGTTGCCCGACCAGTGAACGTAATCCCTATATAGTTGGTATTCCGGATAGCAACCGATAGGACAACCGGCCCGTGATTCAGTGGTACAACGTTCAACTCAATGACTAAGGATCCCGGGTCCAAATCCCAAGTCCAAGTTTGGTATGGCTGACTGATGACTAATAAGCCAGAAATGGTCACTCCAATCTTCCTTGTATTTGGTGGTACTCTGCTCGGCCTGTACTCTTGGTCGCCGTGCGAGTGGCTAAGTTGGCTCTAGATTGGGTCCCAAGACACATCGGAACGAGCATGTCCCGTAAAATGATCGTTAAGCGCAATTCTAACATAGTGTCCTTTGCCTCTGTTGACTTAGTGCTTATTGCTAGGCTAGGGTGTTAAAAATTACTTCTAGAGCGAGACGGAGCATCTAAATTTCGTGCTGCAGTTAGGATTGATTCGTAAACGACACTTGTGCAGGGCTTTGCAAGTCAGTCACCCCGCTCCCATCTATTTTTGCCTTTAAAAAGTGTGGGAAAAATGACCTCATGAAATTACACCTGCGGATTACAGACGGCCTGTAGGCTGGAAAACCACATGAAGCACAAAAGAAGTTTAAGTAAAACGCAGAGAGAGAGAGAGAGAGAGAGATCTGCGGACAAACCATCTTGCTTAATGAGTCGGAACTCGCCGGACATCTCGGCGGGGCTATAGGCACGCTGGACAGCAGATCGATTGGTGCCGTCTTCGCAAATAATGTACTCCACAGTGTCACCGGCACGGAAACGTCGGCTACTTGAAGTCGCCGTAGCGCCGCCCAAATTTGTGGCCTGATTGAAACGCAGAGCAACCTGCACGTGTGGCTGCAACTTGGCGTCTGGGTAGTCCTCGGGGTTCTTTGTCAACATCTAGCGGCGAGGACAGGGGAGAGAGAACATCAGTTTGTGCAAAAACATAGAAAAATACGCGTTTCCGTAAGAAAACTGAGAAATGCGATTGGCTCACTGAATCAGCGGCGGGCTATTCTTTACAGTAAAGGAGTCTCCAAGGTGGTTTCACGACTGTGACAACCCGTTAGTGAGCATTGTCGTCGATTCCAGGCAATAGTTCGTCGTCATTTAATGCAACCCTAAGACACATGGCAACCCCCACTAAAACCACAGCAGTTGCCTATTAAATACGTTGTAAAGATGAAGACTGCGACTGCGTTGGGGAAACCGAATGGAAATTGGAGGCCCGCCTACACAAACACAAACTGGCAACTCTAAGACCAGGCCCGAACTCACAGCTTGCGACTCACGTCGGAGAAACTGGTTATAGTTTTGACCTCCAAGGCGCTGTCGTCTTAAGCCGGAGTACCTCAAACACAGAAAGTCTCACACTTGAGGCCAGATGTCAACCGCATCAACAGGCATCTATACCTTCCTGCGGCCTATAAAGTCTTGCGTCATTGCATACGCCATTACTAGGACAAGACGGTCACACGGAGCTTAAAAATATCGACCAAACACGCCCCATCGACTTTTTCCCATAGGGGAGCACAGATGCAACCGACCCCGTTGAGGTGATGACAAACAACGCAGGAGGCCGCCGAAATTCAGGCAAGGGTTAGAAGGCTGGGGCAGCCAAAGAAGAAAATCGATCGGTCAAAGGCCAACTAATTCGTCTGTTTATTCAAAATTATGCTCGATTTTTGGCGCAAAACGTTTTGCTAATCGAGAGCTGGCCATGCCCTCTGAAACGTCAACCACTCAATTCCACTGTTCATCACACTTCTCAGATTATCAACATGGATCTCCTATGTTTGCTGACCTGAGCGTAAGAAAATTGCTCAGGTTAAATTCAGTGCTGCACCCTAATACAGCCGGTGGGTTTAGACAGTCTAGTTATTGATAATGCACATCGAGTTGAAGTCCTCCACCCTCCATTAACGGAAGTTAGTGAAACTAGGCAACCCTAGTATTATGCAAAAGCGTTTACCAGAATGCCCTTAATTAGATTTTGGTAAGGTTTTTTGCGCGTTTGCTTGTCATAGCCCATAGCACGTAAGACTGGCAAGTTTTTTTGCAAATCTTCATCTATATCATGGAAAGGAGCTTTGTGTTAAAAGGAAGTAGTGTCGCAGAGGTTGCTATCTTATATACATTAAGTTAGATCATACGGAAGTGGCGTGCACACACGTCTTTGCGGGAAGTTCAGAGAATTGCTACCAAAATTTATGCAAAAAGTTGTACACAAAAATACTTACACAGATTCTTTAAAAACGTCTAATACTACAGTCTGCGCTCATACGCAAGTTGGGGCTTTTGAAAGTTCCCAACCCGGGTTTGAGGTTATTGTAATGGTGACATCAACGAAAGAATTTGTGTTCGAGTCTTGATAGAAAATGTAGCACTTTCCACACTCATTATGAAGGACGTTTCCTTCAAAAATCGACAAAAAATTGACCGTTAGTGCGCCAGGAACATTCAGAAACGTCTGCGCAGCTTCAGCAGTCGCTCCGAACTATATGAGCTAGATTTAAAGGGGGAAGATAACAATGGCGCACAAAAGTATGCTCTGACCCCTAACACATTGTTGAATGAAGTATGCTTGACCATATTCTAGGGTTCGCTAAATAGCGGCGTCACTGGCCGAAGGTATGTACAAAATCGTAGTAAAGTGCCGTTAAAGAACTATCGGAAATCTCAGAGCTTCCCCAATTACGACTGGCTACACTCGAACACAGAAAATACCAGACTTGTTCAAAAGGCTCTCGAGTCCGTACGAGATAGTGGTTCTTTTCAACAACGGTGATCTAACGGATAAACCAACCCTTTGGCGATACCACGCTGTCTTCTGTCACTACTGCTCACCTTATATTCCATTGACGCTTCACTTGTCCTACTTCTCTCTCTCCCTTTGACAATAATCGATGGCAGAGACCCCTGGGGTACATTTGGCACTCAACGACGGTAAAGCTTTCCAATAGACGGTTGTTCCAACCCCCGCATCTACTAGACGCAGCCTAGATCCTGTATTTTCCTCTGTTAACCCATCCAACAGAAGGCTTTTTCCCCAAAGATATTGCCTTATACTTCCGCGTAATGCTTTCAGCCTCTTTAACTAAAAATTACATTAAATCGAGTTATCTGAAATCAAAATCAGGCAGAACAAATCAGGTATTTTTAGGCACAGCTGCCCGACGCCCCTAGGCGAATCCCTTGCAAAGAATCATCTGTTATGGATTATCAGTCCTCCCTCACTTGTCTGTTGCTAACGGCCCGCTGCATCCTCGATAAAAAAATACGCCTCCTAAACGCGAGTCGCTGTTTTTTCCTTACTCAATTAGCCTATGCACATTTTCATGAATTAACACAGAAAACAGATACTCGGTCAACTGAAACTGTACTCTTTCTCCTTTATTCCCCATCGTTAATTACTTATACTGTCTGCTAGCCCCATCCTCTGTTAGTGAAAAAATGGATGGTCTTGCGATAATTAAGTGGTTCAACGATAACGAAGTCGCTATCTTCGCTTTTGTCTAGACAGTGGTTTTTAAAGATTTTTGCCGACAATTACGTCCACTTCACAACAAGGGTGCACTCTCCATTTTCCTCCCTTTAGCAGCCAGCATCTTCTAAAAAATTGCATCAGAATGAAAGAAGTAGAATGCACACGACGAACCTTTGTAATCACAAACTCAGGTAGGGGTAGACTGCCTTGACGAACTTGTTCAGCCACAGTGCGCAAATGCGTATGGATTTGGTCCAGTACCTGTTCACTTGGCTTGCCTGAGAGTAGGGCATCAACACAGGCCCTACCAACCTCGGCAGCAAGGCGACACCAATCGCGACGCACAATGTCCAGACCCTTCAACTCGGCCTTTGTGGGTGGGGGCGGCAATGCGGCGACTGTGCCCTTCTGCTCCTGAGAGGACTGCTGCCGTGCACGTAGCTTTTCAGCGTACGTCAGGGGATTGACGATGGAGAGGGCTGCATACTTCTTCTTGGCCAACAAAAGCATCGCTGCAAAGACGCCATCAGTATCGAGTTCCACCAGGCGGAAGCGCCGGTTAACCTCATGTTTTACCTTTTCACCAATGGCGAGGGCATTGAGCAAATCCTTGGAGTTTGTGTTGACCATGATGGAGTCTGTATCGCCGTAAATCACCTAAATTGAAGGGTGTTGAAGCGCAATGAAGTAGGCAGGCAGGAGGGAGAAGAGAGAATAAGGGTAATGAGAGGTGAATAAGGGGTAGGGGAAACTGGGACGAAGAATATACCTACACTGATTCGGGATTAATGTTAGCAACGTCAAACCGCCTTAAAACAGCTGTTAAAGGCCCCAAAACGCCCTAGTGCGGTTTGGTGGAATCGGACAATTGCAACTGTAGACGCACTTCGCTATCTCGGTATTCAGCCTAAAGAAATGACAGCGAGGAAGGGGCTCATGCGGCCCACGTAGGCCTTCATTATCTTTAGCGACGGTAGATGGTTGAAACCCACGTCTCCCATGACTGAGTCCAGCCAATATTATTGAACTATCCGGAAACTTGATCGTTGCCTACCGAAGGCAAAAACGAAATCCTCCCGTGTCGCCAGCTTCGAAGAATAATCCAGAGTATACAGTGGTGTGACCACGCAAGTAACAATTTTAGAAATGCGCCGCCAAAAATCTCGTGGACAGCATATCAGGAAACTCTCCTTAGAGTTGGAACACCTTATCGAGAAAGGGGTATGATCGCTAAAAGATTGCCAGGCAAAATTTTTGCTGTTGTTACTGCGACTACCACTACTAATGATGGTTGTTTGGTGTCTACATTCCCCAGAAAGCGCGCGCGCGCGCGCGCGCAAACCTGCGTCCTGCCAGCATGCTGCCGACAACTTCTCTCCACGGTGCTGTTTGGTACATGATACGACCGCAAACATGTCTGATCTCGACGTTCTCGATGAAATCCTCAACTGTACTTCTCCACGCGTGACGATGCGCGGCAGCAGATCTGGACAGCTCAACACATTCTCTCCGCCAGCAACGGTTACTAAGTAACGACGGTCCGGGAACCATTTCCATGTCGTGATGGACTGTGTGGAGCAAGGTTTTGATCTAACCTCTTCGGCGCATCCAAGTGGATAACGGGGTCGCATCGAGGGCAGCAACACAAAGCTCGTGAGGCGAACGACGGAAAACGTGTCCAAACCACTGCAGTCTGCTCTCTTGATTGGTCCTTTCGGTGTTTTCGTAGCGAGTACGTACTGTCTCATTTGAGACGTTGTGAGCGTACCTCGCTCGGAGTATGGTCCTCAAGCAGTGATGGTCACATACCGCTGGTTTTAGCTAATCTTCCACACACGGCCCAGCATTCATAACCATACAGAAGGACTGACCGAAGAGATGTCCCGTACACGCGAATCGTCGTAGCGATGGAGATGTCGCTTTGGGCCAATAGACACTTTCGACGGCTTGAGAAAACCCGGCGAGTAGCATCCATTCGGGAGACAATGTCGTCCTTACTCTGCCCATTCAGCACCAGCTTCGCCCCAAAGGTATTTAAAACTGTCTACTTCAAGCTGACTGTCATTAATCTCAAGCGGTGCTTTTTCGTGCTCAGCGATTTGGTTGAAAACACTTTCGTCTTCCCAACCTTTATGGATAAACCGAGGAATTTCGCGACCTCATTCATCCGTGAAACCATAAATTTGTAGATTGCCAAAGCTTGGTGCTAGTACGGCAACATCATCAGCGTAGTCGAAACCAGTCAGTCGGCGGCCGGGTACAAATACAACACCGTCAACTTCGTGTCGGACGCTCCCGAAAATCCAATCAATGGCGTAGTTGGACAAAATGAGTGACAGGATACAACCGTACCGAACGCCAAACCGAATATCGGAGGGCTGGGAGAGATTGAGCGATGGCTGAGTGGTAGAAGGCACTGATCATGGCGATGATTTTGCCCAGAAAACCATCTACAAACATTATTATTAGCCACAGGGACTTGAGATGAACAGAATCGAACGCGGCGGCGGTCAAGAAAACAGACTGTCGTCTGCTGTCGGTAGCCATAGCGGAATTCGAGAATGCCCCTAAGCGTGAACATCTGGTGGCACATCCACACCCACCTTGGAATTCATATTGATTAGACCCCGTTCTGGAGTCACATACCACTAATCTGACAGTTAATTCCGTACAATTCTCAAGTGTCACCAACGTTTGGGGCCTGTTCCATGGATGGCACCATTTTAGCCCAATACCTTTTTCGGTCATCCCTAAACGTTATGCCGTCACTTTCCGGAGTTATCAGAATGAATATTCATGATAGGACCTGGCTCGAGCAGTTTGAGCAGTCAACTGACGGGTTCGTCCGATGATCCCGGTCACTGTGGCGCCGCTATGTATACCCAAGAATTTTCTCAGCTGTCATATAGACCGTTGGTTGCTGCCTACTCCGTCGGCTCGGATCGTGAAACGGGAGCGGATTTCTCTGCTCAGGGCCTTGGCGGTGCAAGGCTGTCAAAATTTGGCAACATCAAGGAGCCTCGCACGCGCTGTTTCGAGTGCGAACGAGACCATAGTAAGGCCTCTTGACGTTCCCAGTTTTAGTATCATCATTCATCTGCTACGGAGAACCCAGCTGTAGAACTTTGAAAGAACTAGTGTGATCAATCTGACTGGCCGCATGACCGTCGCCTGAGTACTGGGCCAGCAAATTTTCTGTGGTGCTGCTGGAGGCACGTGTTGGTAACAAGCAGTCAACAAAGATCAGCGTTCTCTCACCATTGTTGCATGGAGAGTCAAGCCCAAAGTTGCCAATCAAGCGACTGCTGGAAGAGTCGCCTGGTCCAGGTTCGGACGTTCCAGCCCCCGGCAAAAACCTGTACATCTCGACGGGGAGTCTTCCGACTAATGCTTGCAGCTGCGAGAAGAAAATATCTCCATAGTGCTCTTCGGCAGCTACAGTTGGTGCGTACACGGAGACGAAAGATGTGACCCTTGGACAGTTGGGCTGTCGTTTCCGACGATGTTCACCATGTGCTCCACAGCAAGACGGAGTAGGGACGGTGACTTGTGCGTGATTTAGTCAATAGTGAACGCAGACTTGCGCTGCATCTACCGCATTCCCTTCTCCTCCCCCACCTGGACCCGGTGTCAGGACAAAGTCAAAGAGACCAGAGACGGGGGAGGGGCGAAGGTGGATAGCACGGTGGAGCCCGCACCTTAGCGCTCCACTCCACACCCCCTGGTCCACATAGCAAGTGACCAGGTTTTAATCGCCAACAAAAAGGTGGTTGGCACGGCCGGAGCCGCAGCTATTCGCGCCGTCACATCCGGCTCGGATCTCATGGAGTGGGAGGGCCATAAGGACACACTAAGAAGGAGCCATTGTAGCCTGACTCTTAGACCACCTGCCCGTCGCTCCACGCAAACACACAAAACTGGGCCGACTGCGACACTCAAGTTATCCAGTTAGTTGGCAACCTTCCAAGCCACGGATTTTAGCGCAACGTGATAGCTCCAAGAGCATCAGATTGTTTATAGTAAGGAAAATGCGCTGAGTCGTCCACCTCACTCTGCCTTCTTATTTCCAGGCGCCAGTCACTGTCCGACCCGGTCAGTTGACCGGTGCGAGAAATGGCGCGGTGACTGGCATATCTAGTGACCTTGTCTGCGCGCGTGGGTGAAGCATGAGCTGGCTCCCGGGATCCTGAGTCAGGAATTCGGACTCCAGACAGGCAGCAGACATGCACATTGTACTAATGCAGACTTTGCGCCATCAGACTTAGGGTACCAGGGTCCAAAAAACGCCCGCACATTCTAGCATCCAATACCTAGGGTCCGTTCCTGACTAAGTAGGCAAGTTAGCATACTATTCGCCCGCACCACTGAACCAGGGTTTTGGAGCGCGTCGGTTCCCTCGAACGCCATAGCTTGCATGGGAATATTGCAACCGGACATATTTTTACAAGGCTCCTTGGGAATGATGAGCACAGGCGGGTCCCCAACAGTCCTCTGATTGTTTGTTTTAAGTTATTTCCTCTAGTGTTTTGGTTCATGAACCTGACCAGAAGGCATCGGTGGCAAGCAAACGTATTTAATGACGGTCCACGATCGCCACGTCGGAGTGCCGTCATCGGGTTTTGCGGCACTTTTTAAGGCTGTCGGCGTGCTGGACGCCAGCCTTTAGCACCCTAGTAGAACTGTTGCTACCAGTCTACGACTGCTTGTTTACCAGACACGAGCGTGGTTATTTCGCGGCTAACCTTCGCTGAAGGTCGTTCCACTATCCGTCACCTGTGGAAGCAGCGGGTGGCTAGCAGCCAAGCTAACGGATCACGTGTCTTCCCAGCTACAGTGCTACAGTGATTGGTCCATATCTGCCAGATGCTACTCTATTCTTCCGGTCTCTTTTAAGCGCATTGGACGGATCGCTAACCAAGCTGAACGGGAAGTTATAAATACACGCAGTTTTTCACTTGAGAAGACTTGCAGGTTTGAATACACTTTGTCATGGCCGACCGCGTTCTGGTTCTCTGCTGTGTTAGTGGTTGGGACAACAGTCAAGCACGCATACAACTGGTGCTATTGTTGTGTACCATGTGGGGTCATAACAATGGTGATAATAACAGCATGAACACCGACTAAACCCCAACCGTAAGCTGAGTAAAGAATTTAGTCCCTATACTAAGAGGTCGTGAATTAGATTTCGCGTGCCGCCACCAAGGCCTAAAGGTATCATATGAGTGGCTTTGGATCATATACAAGGTTACCTTCGAGGTACGCGAGGAGACCCCGAGTGGGTTGTTTAACATTGTCCAGACAACGTATAACACAACAACCATAGGCAGCCATGGCTGTTGCTGGAGACAAAGAAGATTCTGCTAAGAACTTCGTTGATGGTGGTTGATAAACAAGGAATATTACAGGTAGCAAGTGTGTGTGGTTTACGCTAGTGCACAAAATAGAGAAATGCAGATCCAAAGTTCCGTCAGTTACACCACATGGCATATTAATGAGAGAATAGTAATTAGAATAACATTACCGACAAAGAGAAGGGGGGGCTGGAGTGGCCATTTCTGGCTTATTAACAGTAGTTCATGGGGCGCGAGAGGGAACGCACCTCATAGTTCATGTTCTCCACGATGTCGCGAGTGTTAACGAGCAGGGCTCTGCCCAGACCCGTGACCAGGGCGGCCAAGCCGCGGGCGCAGAAGCGAGAAGCGGCGAACCCCAGACAGCCGTAAACACTGTTTGCGGTGATTTTGAGAGCCATCTGGCGAATGTTCCACTGGGCACAGCGTACAGCATCGGAATCCCCGGCCGCAGCGATGAGCTTCTTCACTTCGCGTCGACTGTCCACGAGGCGACGCAGTTCCATCGGCAAAATACCCAAAGCACGACTGGTGGGCAGGCGGCTCTGATTATCGTTATTGACAGCAGTACTGTCTCCACCGCCCCCAGACGTGACACTAGCAATTAGAGCTGAGATAAGGTCTTGGCTATCCGTCTGTAAAAATGCGAAATACAAGAGGATGTTCACATGGTTTTGGTAAGATTTGGAGGAGGAGAAAGTGAAGGAGGAAAACAAGGAAATGATCACAGCCAGTATGAAAATTAGTTGATCGTGAGAACTCAAACTCTGATAGCCGACTGAATTTCCGATCTTGCTAGTTCGGGTCTCTAAACCATGTGCCTTAGCCAAGGAGTTGCAAAGCCTCAAAAGGGTCACGGATAAAGAATCGGCAGATTGGCATAGCTAGCTAGAGACCCTCATTCAAAAAGAAAAAGCGTTCTATGTGTGATCAGCAGTAACAGATTATCAAATTTCTGTATGGGCAAGATAACACTTACAGTTGCCAAATTTGAGGCTGAAATTAAAGCAGTTCATATCGCATATAAGACACGGACGGCTATTATCGAATCCAAAATGCACCCACGTGAGAGTACTGTTTACCGATTAGTCTACATTCCAGGGTGGAATACAGACGCTCTGTTCGGCCTTCTTATTTCAGTTTAGGGTCCTACCAGGCGGTGGCACAGGAGAGGTATATTATACATCAAGATTGATCCAGATTGAAAGACTAATTATCCTGTCAGAGCAACACCAATGATAGGTTCCCAATGATAGCACCTTGAGCAATCAAAAAACATCACAATGACTCCATTGGACGTTAGAATTCGTTGGCGTTAGTCCGACAGTCGCAAATGACGATGTCCACCAATGTTCCGCGGGTTTAGTGACAACTCTCGTAAACATGTTTAAAGTGAAGCAGATCTGCAGTGCATCTGTCTTGCCTACGATAAATCACGGCGAATAATAGAACGCGCACTCTTCCGGCATGCTCAATCTACTCTAAATGGAGTGATCATGTCCACAGACTAGCAGCGTCATTGCCATTGGTCATCGAAGGTCGGAATGCGCCACTTGAACATATAAGCGCGCATTCAGGCAAAAGCTACAGATGGTCTTCTTGAATATTCAACGCTGGATACGTCTTCAAAGGTTGTAACTCCAAGTGCTGCATAGATCTTCAAATCTTATTGGAACACATAATTATCGCAAAAGCATGGTAGCCTATGTGTGCTTTATTTCTCCGTGTATATGCTTGCGCAAATAAAGTGGTCTGGAGAACGCCCTACCACAGAGGCAGTCTGATTTATTGCTTTGATTTACCAAGAAGGAATGCGTCCCGAAAACGCCTCGCGTACATCAGGCATCCTACCCCGACAGTCTTTCCTCATGGTACTAAATGGTGAACTAGAGTTAGAGGACGAGCGAAAACTTTGCATCGAAAGGGGCATTTCACATTCGATGTGATGACATCGCAATGACATCCAAGCCCACGCAAAAACGACAAGTGTGGTGACTTGGGCATGTTGGTTGTCGCATAAATTTGGTGCTGTTGCCCTCGCTCGACGCCGACCTACTGGATGCGGCGAAGGGGACAGCTATGAAGGTGGCTTAATACTCTATGGCAAAGTATTTCGGTGGCGTATAGGCCTACGATCGTCGATCTCATCCGTCCAACATGTGCTAACAATATGTGCATGTCCCGCACGATCGAAATCGGATCTTATGCCCTGGGATATTAGGGAACCGTGGCCAACAAAGACCAAGGATAAAAGAACTATCAGTCCCGGTTTACACGCCGCCATCAATCCATTCCGACACGCAATGTCACCAACGACGTAGGCACTCAGATTCCGTTGTAATGCTTTTCATAATTCAATCGTTCAGCCGAATTTTCGAATTGGAAATCCGTCAAGAGGGCCTCAATGAGTAATGTTCCCGCAGAGCAGGTGAGACTTCATAGGGCAGGAAACACGAGTAAAACCCGGGAGGGGGGAGAAAGAGGGCGAAAGCCTTATATGTTGACGTACTGACTGTGTGGCGTCTTCTGTGGAAGTGGCGGCTAGGAAGGACCGATCCATAGTTGTGAAGCACAGATTGAACTCCTGAATGATGGACGGGTAGAGAGAGTTGAAGTCCAGCAGAAGAATGTAACTATCATAGAAGCCTAAAACGGAGAAGACGGGGAGGCGCTTATGGTATGACTTAGGAAACTAATTAATCCGACTTCAAATAAAAACGTGAGTACTTGCGAAAGGAACTCAGTGTCCTGACGGACAGACAGTGGGACAACCGGCAAAAAACATGGATGGCTTAGGTGGAATTTTTCAAAACATTCTATGAAAAAGATTCAGTGTTGGCTCAGTTTTTGGGCGGAAACAGATGCGTGTCCCCCCTATGAACTAAAGAGTAAGGCCATCTGTAGTGCGGGTATGGTGGTAATACGGGGTCTTTTAGGAGAGGAAATGTGCCATTTCAGTGTTGGCTCAGTTTTTGGGCGGAAACAGATGCGTGTCTCCCCCTATGAACTAAAGAGTAAGGCCAACTGTAGTGCGGGTATGGTGGTAATACGGGGTCTTTTAGAAGAGGAAATGTGCCATTTTAGTAAACAAAAGGGAAAAAACATATTTGCGCTGAAAACTTCCTTTGGTAGATTAAAAAGACACTTTGTGGGGTTGGGCACGGGAATATGGATTCCCGTATTACAGGTGGCCTTGCCCTAAATTTCAAGGGAGTTAGAACATGACTAAGGCTTAGTGTCAGGGCGATTTTTAGGACCAGGGCTAGGAAGGTTAGTTTAAAGGCTAGGGCTAAAGTTAAGACACAAGGAAAGACGCCCCCTAGAATTCAGGGCAAGGCCACAATGTAGTACGAGCAGTCCATGTTTTCGTGTCCAACCCTTTGTAGGAAGACAGCTCAGGGAAGGGAGTATATATATCCATTCCCTACACATTTTTATAATTAGCCTACATGCCCAGTCCCACTTGGCCTCAACAGAAGTTTATTCGTGGTCAATTGATGAAACCCTTACCGATCGGTTAGTCCATCCTTGCTGTCCCAAGTCTAATCGAATACGGGCATGGAAAAGGGAGGACTCACCTTTTTTCGGCTCCAAAACAAGACCACCGGTGTACGCGGGTTTACGACGCCCACCACCACCACCACCGGCAGCGTTCTCTTCCCCTTCAACCAGCGTCTCTTGCGCGAGCGTGTCTTGGTCGTGATGGCTGCTACCACGTTTGCCCTTCGCAGCAGGGCCAGCAAAGCCTGGCGGGTCAGGCACTAGGTAGCCCTGCTCGTTGAAAGCATGCAATAGAAGGGCCTCGTTGCGCTCCGACCGACCGCCAGCAAGAGTGCGACTCAGCACATTGCCGCAGATAGTCGTAATTTGATTGGCTAGCGGAAGCGCCTTCATGGTTAGGAATAATCATTAGAAATAGGGGATGGGTGGCATGAAAACTTGCATGTACAGTAAGGCGCAAATCAGAGAGGAAATCAGCAATTTTTCGCTCAACGAGGACCAATAACCGCGATCAGCATGAAGTGTTGCTGGTAGAAAGATCGCCTTCTCAATTCAACAGTGATCAGGAACAAGAGCTGAGGGCAGGCAGGTATCCTTCAGGACGCATGAGAGCATTTCCGCTTTGTCGTGTGGCTGGGGCTCTGCAGCCCACGCAAGCGATCGCATGACGACTGACGACCAATAGTGAAAAAGTCTTACGAAGAAGACACGGACAGTGAAATGGACCTCTCCAGGTTTCCTTGCCATCGATGAAGCAACCCCGGTTGCACAACTGTGGCTTAGACTCAAGTGAGTTTACTACAGAGCAACCCGCCCTCCATTGCGCTATGGTCGCATGGCGTGCCGTATGAGACCAGGAATAATTCAGCCACATAGGAATGGCATGCATTGGGTTATCCAGACTTCAGGATGGAAAGGGACGCCTCTGTTTTCCCTCGCATAAGAGTCTGAAACCGTTTTATATGGCCGGAGGTGGCGTTCCTCCCACTACCCTAAATGGCACAGGAAACAGGATATATCTACTTGTGCCGAGGTCAAAAACAAAGCTGCGAAACATACGACGAAAGGGAGTCAGTTGGTCAGGCCTTGAGATCTTGTGGCGTTCCACGAAAGACCTGGCTGGTTGAACCACGCAATCGGCCGAAGCTGGCTTTATCGAATGATACTCAACGAGATGGTCGTCAGCCAGACGAGATCGTAAACAGTGCTTGTTCGAATTGGAGAACCACGTGTTTTTTTTACTTTATACTTGTTGCACAAAACTAAAAAACAAACCGACGTATAGTTTCTCGGGATGGTGTGTGAGATTCTGCTACGTTTAATAACTTGCGAGCCTTATTTGTTGTTTGAACTCAAAAAAATGCAAAACACGCCATTTGGACCCTGGCACGACATCGGAAATTATACGGGCAGATAAAATGGTTTATTATGCGAGAAGTTCTAATATATGGTGCAACGTTTAAAATGATGTGTGTGGAAGCAAACATCATAAGGAAGCGGGGCACGCTTCGGAATGATCAAGGTGAGTAAACCCAGTTTGGTTCCCGGCATTGTGTTCATCGCGCTGACAGCATGGCTAGCTGGTGTCACCCCCGAAATGCAATATGCTTTAGAAATTTCACATTTTTAGGAAGCAATCGTGTCTAACACATGGTTCTGCGTTTTGAGCAAAGTTAAAACTGCCATCTTTTGCCAGAAATGTCTATAAGTAGGCAGCAGTGAGAACGATCGTCTAGCTGGTCATCTGGTTAGAAAGCTCACTACATATGCCGAGTTTCTAATATACACCCAAAATTTTCGAATGCCCCAGCCTATAAGTGATAAGAATGTAGCAAGCGAGTCATTCACATGTCTGTACTGCTAGCCACTTCTGCAGACGTTGGAGGAGCGTATATTGTGCACAGCAATTATACTTGCCAGTAATACACACTTTGACAAATAACCGGGCGTCGAGTAGCTTTCAGATAAAAACAGAGACGTCAAAGGAATCAATTCTCAAATGCATGGCTAGAGAACGATTCGCTACAACCATCCTAAGTTCGATTTCCCGACAGGTTTTGCAATTGTCTTTGAAGGAAACCACATTAAACTTGCACCTCGGTTGATCTGTCAGCTGAGATATCCCACAGGGCGTGCCTGTATATCAAGGCCCAGAGAGTGAGTCAGTGGGTTTCCACTGTCAAACATACATCATAAGTCGTCCCGATAACGGGGTGTCAACACCAAGTGGTAGCGGTATCCAGAAGCCTGAAAAACGGAATCGTGCCATACTGTTGTAGGATGTGATGAGGCGGTCTTAGACGTAGCTTTGGTTAAAAACCAACTGATGTGATAGAACCACGTGACGGAGGATGGGCCTAGTGAAAGTCATAAGTATTATGGATCCAATTGAAAGGAACGGGGACGTCAGGGTTCTGACACATTGAAAAGTTTCTAGTGTCAAAATGACGAAGAGCAAACTTGGGAAATGTAAGAGTGTAGTGATTGTGGTGGTGGTGGTTGTAGTGAGAGGAGGAGGAGGCCTGGGGTACCTGCAGTTGGTGCACAAGTCGCAGCACGAGGAGAGCGTCCGAGAGGCAGAAGTCAATTAGGTCCTTGACATGGGCAGACGAGGCAAAGAGGCAGCGCAGGTCAGCTGAATCTACTTCCAGGTCAATGCCCGAGAGGAATTCTTGGCTGCTACCACTACTGTCGCTGGCGACAACCGACTGTGAGAACTGGGCACGCACAGAGGGCGGAATTTGGCGTTTCTGTTGTTGACTTGAAGGCAACACTTGGTGCGCCAGTTCACTGAGGTTGTATGTACGTGACCTAATGAGCTCTTTCGCAGAGACCCGGCTGTCGCAGACAAGGCGACCAGGCATGGCGTTGCGCACGAACCAGCCCTACAAAGGGACGCAACAGAATTGTCTGTTTTAGCTTCATTCAAGTCGGAAGTGCTTTCACACTTTCGATGCGTGTTAACGGGGAAATTCAGAAAATCAAAACTCATTGAGGCAAACAATCCTTTGCTATGGCAACTAGCCTTGGTGCAACGTTCAGATTAACGAAAAATCATTAGTCGCAAACTAGCTCAGATGCGTCCATCAAAACGCCGAACTAATAATAAACGGCTTCTACTTAGATGAAAACGCAAAATAGTGGAAGCACTGTTGCACTGGATAGAAATAATAATTTTCTCAAGAGTTCGATGTTGAAAGCGTGAAAATTTCTGCCCAATGAGTAAACTCGAGATTTAAACTTGCCGTACTTGAAAATCGATTGTGTTCGGAATCAGTCTGCTAACAACAGGTTATTGTTGGGGGACCCGGCGCTTTATCGATCTTTAAAGGTCGCTTTGGTGCCCTGAGGTGCAGTAATAAGACACGCAGTCAATCCTTCCTTTAAATGAGCTAACGGTTTTGCCAGTGGGAAAATTCTGTTTTGACATCAAAGTAACTATTACCAGATAGTCATTTTCTGATCTGAACGCATTAGACCTTGGCAGAGGGGGCGCTCACCGATCGTTCTTACGGAACTGACTCGTTCCGTTGTGCCTTACGGACTCTCTCTCTCTCTCGAGCCCAACCAGCAGCCGCACAGCGGCGCATGATACAGGCAGAATGCCATTACCGACAAAGACAAGGGCGACTGGAATGACCATTTCTGGCTTATTAGCCGTCGTCAGCCAGTCATATCAAACCCCGAAGTATGGAACACCTGAGGCTCGAACTCGCGACCTCTAGCCACTGGGGCACGGGTCCGCTGATTTTCGTTCGGTCTACTTTCTGCATGTACGTAATTTAGAAATGGAAGGAACAAGACATTAACAGTTTCAGCAAAATATCTGTATTTTTACGGCCACTCCGCCATACATTTATAATCGTAGAACGGAGTCTAACAGTGAGCAAAGATATTGAAAATGGACGCAATATAAAGAGAAGGGTAGTTTCTTCCGTTTTCGGTAGCAAAATATCAGTATTTTTTAGCAGCGTAAAAAGAAACGGCCAAGTGTCAAATTTTTTTCTCGGTTTAATCGTGCAAAAATGTAAAGTACACAGACATCCGTCGACGGAATGCAGTACTGAAACACTCCTTGAAAAGCTAACTTGGATGACAACCGTTTCTAATTGACTGGAAGAATATTCGTTGTTGACTTTTGCTATGGACGTTCATTTTATTTAACGATGTGGTTTCCCGTTTGGGTGAGTCCACAAATGTGCCCCGAACTACCTTCTGCATGAAAAAGAACGCCTAAATAGGCACCACTTCAGTAAATATCTTCAAGAGGTGTCTTATTTTAAAGATATTAACGAACACATAACACTGAAAATAATGAAGTGTTCAGCGACATTTCAAGGCCGATTTGAAATCCAACGTGATACAAAACAAACTTAAAGTGCAAATTAACTTCACAGAGGAAGTTCTCGTTATATACAAAAAATGCCATGTTTACAATTACACTTGCCAATTCTATTTGAATATATTAGTCACTGACCCACCTGGCAACATGTGCCCTTATGAAAACTTGTTCCTTGACGTCCCTATCAGCGAAATCAAGCAATATCCCGTTGGCCTAACTAAACCGCATCTCACTCAATTGAAAAGCGTAAGGAATATCACGAATCCTCGGAAGACCGTTTTGGAATCTCTACTCGGAATGTAGGCTGTTGGCAAACCCCCATACTTGAAATTACACTAATCGTTAAAGGACATTTAGATGTAAACTGCAATAAAATATTATTTTCGGATATTAGTATATTTGTGCTGTTATAGTTACTCAATGTTTTGCATGGACAGGCCTTCTGTACACATAAAACTGAAATGTACACAATTACAAATATTTTGACGTTTTCAGAATTTGCCGCTTTTCTAAAAAAAATTAGTATTTTTAAACAACGCAATACTACCTTTAACATTTCTTTAACGTCTTTAATTTCCTTGAAGATGTTCTTTACTGGTCCACGCATTGGTGTCGGTTGGCGACGGATTAGCAATCATTCGTAAATTTCGACACCTTTTATGAGTTAGGTCACTGACTGTCCTTTGCACAAAGACACTTTCCGGAATGAGCTAGTTGTACGTTTTATGTGCCTAAAAATGGTCATCTCAATTTCTGTAATCAGGTGGCATAAGTTAAGTCACATACTGTAGTACTTCCAGATATCAGGAAGTGTGTATAGAAGATAGGCACTTTACCTAGGCGACCATTCAACAAAACTCGGCGTAGTATAAGATGTAATGACGCTAAAACGCTATTGCTGGTGGCAAAAAGAACAAATTTGATAAGCCTGTGAGGCATTAGTGAATATTAGGTGAGTATGCTGCAGCTGTTAACATCCAACTCAGATGCTGATATTGATTCCGGTCCTGAACACCAATACTGAACTCTGCCATGCTTCACAGATCCAGACATTTTTACAGGTAAATGCAAGGAAGAGTTGGATGGTAACACGTCTGACGTCATCGGCTGGCCACACCTCAATTCCAGGCTGAGAAAATCAGTGATTTAAATCGGGGTCCATTGCAGCATTGGGCTGTACACCCTAAAGGCTAAACTACGGACCCCCCCCCGTCGGCTGTTGGAGTACGCAGTCACATGAGAGTGGCCCTCCCCAAGCTATCCGGATCGCAAGACGGGATATGGACACTCTAGATCGGCCAGACGGCTAGCGGCAGAAACGAGACTGCGGTGAGCACTTTTTGCACCTTTTTCGGCCGATATCAACGAAGTGGCATACTCCCGCCCCAAATAGATCCAGCAGGTGAATTGGAATGTTACAGTGAACGGTCAGCCCTTCTAACCAGACATGCGTGAAGACCTACCCGTGAAAAGATCATGGAATAGCCGGCCGACCTTCGTAGACGGCTAATCCTGTGCCAGTGTGGGACCTTATGAGCGTTAAGGCGATGTAGAAGAAGGTCCAGCTGATAGCCCCACAGATCGTGGCCAACGATGAGGTCTGGATCGAGGCGATGGATGCGTGTCAGTAGACGCCCTAGGAGGGCCCTCTCGTTCGGCTCGATGTCCACGCCACCGGAAAAAGCGCTGTTGGTGTCGCCGGTGGCTGCAACGGACTTTGGTGGCTGATACTGTGCACCCCAAGTGGGCAGCTTCTTGGAGAGATCGTAGGGCAGCACGGAACCCTTTGGTGGAGACAAAACTAGGAACGGAAAGAAAGACGGTGCAAGTGTCCCGTTGGAGGATGCAAAAGAAAAAGACACTGACAGACCACTACTTATTTCTTTTAAAAAACGATGTAATCCTGCACTAGTTCAAAAGCAAATGGTTCCAGTGACTGGCTATCTAAACCGCAATAATATACAGTGACATCCAAAAACTGTTCATTGACGAATAATGGAGGTGAATCAGAGAAATTGATGACTTGTCACCTTCCACTTTCCGCCAGCTGGAAGTCAGGCGTAATGGGACGATGGTTACTGTTGCCAATGAAAAGAAGTAAACGAAGGAATTATTTGGGAAGGAGTGGAAGCTAGACAGGTGGGACACGTAAACCTCAGAATGCCAAAGCGGTCTTCAGGAGCCGAGTGCCACTGTGGTGGCAAAACTTTTTTCTACGCCAGGGATGTTCACAAGTCGGCCGACCAAATGCACTGGAGGCCACCTGCGAGGCATTTGACAAGAGGTCTAAGACTAAATAGAAAGCCGAGAAATCAGGATATGTCTGCGAATACCATGACTTTGTATACTCCCAGTTTCCAGCAATGGATATTTGTAAGCTGGGGTCAGGGGCATGACCAGCTGACAGGCAACTGTCGGTCACTCTAAGAACGGCGCACCAGTCTATGGTCAAGTGATCCGTCAACAGGTACAATCACGGGATTCTCCGGAGGTGCCAGCAGGGGCACGGATGACATGTAAGACAGAAGGATTCTGACCGTGGCCCCTTTCTTTGAATCTCTTGACCCAGAAATGGGCAAGCGATGAGCGCCTAGTGCCTTCGTATACTTTCCAACTGGAAAATGGAGGTGCAAGATGAGCAAAACAATCGTCCACCCGAAGAATGGAACCATCAACAAGAAAGATCCAAAGTCTCCGAGCAGCATTCATAACGCCGGGAAACCCGCCTCTTTTTCGGGAAATCTGTCTACCCTGACGACCGTTTTTGCCAAAACTTTAAACAAAGTAGTTGCATTAGAGGCAAACCAGTGGGGCACAAGAGTCTAGGGATGTGTGCAGTCCGCAGGAGGAACTTACCCAGGTAGTGTGACTGGAACGTCTTTGAGCCCGCTGGCTGATCAAGGTAACAATGGTTGTCGATTAAAAGGCCAACGGCGATTATCTAAAACCGAAAAAACACTGTTCATTGCCGTGGCCCTCTGGTATTGCTTAAAAGGGTATAGAGTCGCCTTCACTGACAGAAGAGTTTTAAATCAAACATGCCAGTCGCCCGAAAAGTCAGCTCCACTTTTTTCGCCTAAAACAATTTTGGGGCTTTTAGAAAGAGCTTGAAAGGCGATCTTTGTCTTCAGTATGGTTAGTCTGGGATTGCGCGCCCGCTTCAGTGAGGCCTGGCTGTTAGCTCACTGCATTAGCGAAAAAAAAGTATCGATACGATGGAGGGGGGGAGGTGGACAGCTATCAACTTTCTCGTCTTAAAAAGGAAACTAACCTCCGAGGAGTTGGTCTCGCGACGGACAACCGATTTTATATCCAACGCAACCAGTCGTAGAGGGGGTGGTGGTAATGACTGCAAACGCGTATCGTCAGCGGCAGGCGCGCGAGCCCTAATCGCGTCGCTCAGCTTCATTATACTGTTGGGTTTCTGGTAGGAGAAGTCATAGTCTACCTTGCACCAGCTTATTTGTGGCTGGAGGGGCACTACAAAGAAGGCGAGAAGAGAGGCGTTAAAATGGCAGATAGAGGTACGGAGACTGGCCTCTTATTTCTGCCTACTTAGGTTGGTTTCTACCTCAACGACCTAGTTTTATAATAGTCAAAATGGCAACTTCATCGAGTGCATGGAGCATAATTAATCATATGATTTGAGGAGGGTATCTAAGTCTTCACGAATTGTGGAGTAGAAGCTCCGTCAGCTAAAAAAAGAATAGGTCGACTGGGTTCTAACTGATTTATGTGGCTGAGGGGTCTGGAATTCTAACGATTGCCCCCGGCTGTTTCGTCGTCAGGACCTTGTTCCTCCAGTTCCTACCTTAATCGCGTTTTGAAATGACCTGTTCACTAATGGGGACGTTCAGTAGTAAGCTTTCTCGTCTCAGGACCTAACCAGCCCTCTCATTCACGACTCAATGCCCTGGGGAATCGGCTGTTCAGAGGGGAATAGCAGACACGAGAGAATAGGCGACCTGTTTTGCTTAAGAGCTTACAGAAAAGTTTCGTAACGACTACAACAGCAAGGTCTGTGGAGAGTCGTCAAACCCCGATCTATGAAAGAATCCTAAACGATGACTATTGAAACATTCGCTCACATTGAGACCGAAAGTTTATAAGAGGGTCCTACCACACTTCCACACAAAGATCTCTAGTCACCGCTTTTATGCAGAAAGCATCACAGTTCCGCTGATCACACATACCTGGGTGTCCCTTTAGAGAGGGTGTAGTTAACATGGTACCAGGACTTTTTTAACAATAGAAGGCCAGAGAGCCTCGGTATATGAATAAAACAGGGGTTTATGAACGCAGATTCGATGAAGTTAACGTTTCTAAGCACAAGGAAACAGGTTTATGTATAGTGGTCAATGTTCGCCGGGGTTTGATGCTTAGCACAAAAACGTAACTACTTTCAGAAGTCAGTAGCAACCCGGTCGTGATCAACATATGCAGGCAACTTCATGCGAATATGAGCACGTGCCTTGCTGTACGAATGAAGCTGCCAATTGGGCGGGAGATAAGGAATGAACATGCGAGGATGCAAAAAGGTTAAATCTACAGTAGAGTTGAAAGGCATTCATTATCGTACCTCCCAAAAATACGACGTAAGGAGATTCAGGGCATGACCGACGCGACCAGACCACGTTAGCATGTATCAAATTGAGTAGCCAGGGAGATATTTGGGGTGATGTAAGTGGGTAAAGTTTGCTCTTAGACAACGACGAAAGGCTATTTACTCAGGAGAGAAACCTCTGCGTATCCAGAAATCTAGGGCTAGGTTAACGCCCACTTTGCCCAAGAGATTTGGATGTGAAAACATCCTCACCGGATGGCCACCAAGAGATCTTAAGGAGCTGCGGATTCATCCAGGATGGTCTATTATGCCGACAGCCGCAACTTGCAGTAGATATATCGCATCTATGAGTCCTCCCTATCTTTTTCAATGGAAATTGGTAAAAAAGTATCTACGTTAAAAAGCACGGCCGTGGGTGGCAATTCGCACTTGAGTGTCGACCGAAAAACCTGCTGTCCATTGCAGATACCTTTCAGTTTATTCTATCACATTAGGTCGGGCAACATTTATTTACATCCTCAACAGGCAGTGTTAACCAAACCTGAGCAGAAAAAGACGCTTTGCGACGTCTCCAAAACATGTGTCTGCTTCTGCATTCTACGATTATTCACTTTAAACTTTCAAATGTGTACCAATGCTCTATCTCACATTTTCAAATGAAATCCTTGAAATCGGTTGTCCGTCCCTCTGCCCAAGGGTTTACAACACCAGGGGGAAACTCTCTAAAAATAAGGCCTGTGTGGCGGCCTGAAGAAACTTAAGGTGTTAGAAAAGTGGGAAATCGGTAGGCTAGACGACCGATTTGGCAAGCATTCCTTCCACTTCCACATCTTTTTCCTATTCTTCCCCGGGTATTTGGAGGCATCTGGCCACTGGTCAACGAACAGCAACAGTCTACGTAAATGAAGACTTAAAGACAGTAAGTCAACATTTTAACTCTCATGCCAGTTAGCCCAATATTTCGCCAAACGACTTTCCACCACCACCACGTGCCTTGTGTCCTGTGTCGGTGGATGTATGTATTCGAGAAGCATCTGGGAGACGTCAACAACTGCTGGATCAGTTAGTCCCCCACCACTTTTCCTTGAATTCTGCACCCGTTTTAATAAACTGACCTGTCTCTCGAGGTACCTAAGCTGCCTTGCGATTGACATTGTCGGAATCGCTCGTACCCTTAAAAAACCTAATAACTTTGACTCTAAATCCTTCTGGCCTGTCGCTTTTTCGTATTTTCTTTTGAACTCGTGGTCTCCCTATATTAAGTATATAAAGCAGGCTGCAGCAATATAGACTTCATTGCACTTGTGATCCACTAGGATGTGCGAGACGAACACAAGAGTTGTCTTGCGTACGCATGAGCACTTCTTGATTAGCCCTCTGCTCTGCGCATCACGTTATCCTAAAGGAAACATCCGAGTGTGGCTATTCCGGTTGCATCTTCGCCTGGCTTTAAGATTGTTTCTCTTTCCGCAGTTAGTTTGTTTGGTCTGACAGCTACAAACCCCTTGTTTGTCCTAGTAGTCGTGGAATATTTTAGGGTTACATCTTATCTTCCCTTTTTTTCGTTTCATATCGAGGATCTGGGGCTATTCATAGATTTTTTATACACCTACTATGTTGATGACATTCATGTTAGTTATTCTGTCAGAAACAAGGTCGAGCTCCAACCCCTTAAGATTGGCTTGCATCATATCTGAGCATGGCCGTCACAAAACGGTCTTCTACGTAATAATTGGAAGTCAGTTCGGTGTGCCATTCGACTGAGACCATCTCCCATTCCCGAATCCTATGACATGCCCCTTGGTGTTAGCCTGTCTTTCATTCCTCCAATCTCACACCATGTCGAATCCACTTTTGACAAGATTCGTAAACTACCTTTGCATTCGACGTCAACATTTATCTATTACACCACTAGCCAATAACGTGAAGGCTTACAGATGCGCGTATGCTCTCCCTTATCTTTTGCTGCTCTCGGGCATTCTTTCAGTCCTCGTCTCGTCTGCATTACTTCTGTTGGCGGTGTCTCTTGGTTCTTTTTCTAGTTGATACCACAGTACGACAACATTTTGCAACGGCATAACACCTTGGTAACCGGATCTTCAATGACAATTTCGACCCTCCTCACTCTGACCTAATTGCTGAGAAGTCATTCCCCCCACACCTGACGTGACTTGCGTCACATCTGGCGGATGAACGACAATCTTGTGACCTCCCTCTCTCACGTTCTCAAGGCATAGGCTGTTCAGATAGCAGTTTCCACAGCTTCCAGTAACGTCATTTTCTAAAATGCAAGAGGGTATACACCCCCAAGGTCAGTACAGATGGCAGAGGGGACTTCTCCCCCCATGCTTCAAATGTGCAAGCTGACTGAAGCAAGGTCGTCGGGGGGCAGAATGTTGCCGGTAGCTTGTACGATACCGCTATTAATGTCCTGGCTGCAGTCTAAGAAGCAAACGGGGGCAGTCGATTTAACTAATCAGGGCCGGTAGCATTTTTGGCAGTAAGAGAGCGCAAACAAAAGTAAACCCAGACTCAACTTACCTGCCCCAGTTAGTTCCAACCAACAGGGTCCGCGCAAACGAAGGTCGAGTATTAGGTTCTCCAGGCTGAGTAAAAAATACAGCGGAAAATTAACGGGCTGATAGTTTTTTTTTATTAACGACATCACACAAGACCATCTTTCAAATTCTGCAATAGACCAACTGCTTCAGTCAATGAAACCTATAGATCATGGCATTCCTCATGTGTCCGCCGATATGCCCTGACTGTGGGATGAAGTGAGGACGACCTCGTTTTGTTTTAATGAACGCCAATCCCATGTGACTTTGAATATCTCCGGTCATGTTTTGTATTACATGGACCTGTGAACTAGGTGATAGAGTGGTTGACTCGAGTACTTGTTTACCAAATGAAGCGGATCCGAACCTCTTATCTGCTTGCCCCGGTTTGGAAGCCAGAAATGACCCCTCTAATCCTCTTTGTCTGGTTACGTACAACTTCTTAGTAAAGTTTTAAATGAAATATTGGAGGAGGAGGAGGAGGAGGAGGAGGAGGAGGTGGAGAGTCTACCTTGGTTCGGTTTACAAACAAAGGAAATTCCTGAAAACTCGTTTGTGGGCCACCAATCCTCCCCCCTTATTCCTGGGGGTCTTCTGCTAATATGCAGGGAGAGTAGGGTTGACGATATGGTTCGGGTTATGGCTAAACTGCCATCCGATACAGGTAGACGTAAAGAGCATATTGCTCAAAAGGCCCCACGCTCCTTAATCTAACATCATTAGTTGCACATGAATAGTCCCATATTATATGGCAGAGTCAAGCAGGTAATTCGTACTGGTAGCAACCCATTGCCATCAGTCAACTAGAAATTACGGTGAACCCAAAGCCGAAGAAGTTGCGTAGAAGCTAAGCGCGAAGTCCTACTTGCAACAGCCAGTCCATCGTAAATTGTTTGTGCGTGAAAAAAAATAAGTAAATATCCTGAATAAGACGGTACGACAGAATAGAAACCCACTCCCCCTCCCCCCTGGTATTCCGGGGACCTTGCGCCAATTTTCGGGGAGATTAGGGTTAGAGCAAAGGTTATGGTTGGTGTTGGGGCCACGACACGCGAATAGGTAACCTTTCTGGAATTTTGCGCAAGACCAACTGTATTGCCGCAACCGGGGGTGAGGTCCCCGTTCCCGCGTTTTACCCCCAAACACCTCCTCCGCATTACCTTTGGTAGCTAAAATGGTCCTGGAAAATAGTGCAGATAGTGATCACCAAAACCGCGAGACGGAACTAACAGAGCGACACATTGACGGGGTTAGTAGAAACTGGAGAATATGCGGTTGCGCTCTTTTTGTCAATATATTGACCCCGCATACTGTCGCGTGCTAAAAAGCGATGCGACTGACTGGCCACAAAGGGAGACGCTGTCAACTTATCGAAAACGTAAGTTTAGTGTGAATGCCAGGAATACACTCCTTCCTACCGATTAGGAGCAAAATTTAAATTGAAGTCGGGCGGAAGGAAACTAAAAACGAACAACTTACAAGGAGGTGTTGGCGCCAAATACCCTAGAGAAGGTTTGCCCAGAAAGATCCGCAGGGAGGGCAGGGAATGCGACAGAGTAGCGCACTTCCAAATACTCTGCCTCCGATGGCACATCGGCAAGCTCAAAAGCATACTTCTTGATGGTTGGCTGAAGGAGGGGGAGATAAGGGGATTGGAAAATTATGCACGCATGGTAGGCACCAAGGGAGGGAAAGGAATGCTTACCAATGGAAACATCTTTGGCGTCATAGAAAACAATAGCAATAGCAGATAACGAGCAATACATGCATAAGCTACAATTGACTCTGTTGCAAGCTACCGCCTAACCTTGCATTTGAACTTTCCAATCTTCCACTTTCCCGTCAATTCGCGGAGCTCCTGGTAAACGTCCTTGACTGTAAATTCTTGTTCAGCCTATAAAAGTGGAATAAGGAAGTGACACCAGATTAATTTTTGGCGCAAGTCCGAGAGACTACTTCATGCTATTAATATGCCGTGGTCAAACAACTTGATTCATTCGTGACAAAGGAAGAAATTCGGTCGCTTCTGCGGCCTACTAGGCCTCGAGAGCGCGGGCGTTTACCGTCAATGGATGGGAGAGAATACTCAAGTTACGGCTGCACGAATTTCAGCCACGCGTGATGTTTAAGTGCTCATACCTCACAAAGAACCACGAGGTCCACCACTGCTCTACGAGGCTTGCGCGTAACAGTGAAGAGAAGCTGCGCTGCACGTTCTCTTCCCACGCCCACCAAATTTGGATGGCGAGAACATGTAAACCGACGGAAGGTGGGCGCAGTGCCTGGCAAATCAAAACATCTCATCTCATCTATGCGTGTCACGCACGACCTGGTACCTCACGGAATACGTACCAGGCAACATATTGGATGGGGCTCGGATTGTACATGATTGCAATAAATGTCAAAGTAGTGAAGGGTGACCGCAGTTCGACTGTCAGACTTGACTGGGACCGCGTTACCCAATCAGTCGGCAACTGTCGAAGTCACGCTTGCTAGCGCATCGTGACAGAGTCAAGGGTTTCCGATTTAGTATGGCAAGGAGGATGGATTTCTCTTTAATAACGGCCTTCCTCTGTCTTCTCTTTACCATGCATAAGCATAGTGTCCGATTATGTCAGCCGACTAGTGATAAGATGGGGCGGCAGCGGCTGGTGCGAAGTGAAAGTCTTCGTCTAAGGAGTGTCACACGCATGTACGGCAGTAGGAGTGGGGAGTCGATCAGTTCTGGTGCAGTCGGAGGGACGAGGGGCATGAGCTAGTGCATACGACCTCTTCCCTACGGCTCAGTACGCGCGAACGGGCTCCACCAGATGCCATAAAATGAAACGGAAGTTGGTTTGTGAAGGAAAGTTGTGCATTCGAAGACACAACTCACCATAGAAGGTCTCGGAAGAAAGAATAATCGGCGTTCAAGGTCCTTAACACGGATGCAACAACTGACGAAACCGCTCGGATCATCCTTCGAACGCACTTTGCCAAAAAGGAATACGACACCTATGTGCAGATGTAAAAAAGCCATGTACTTATCATGAAGAAGACGAGGTAAAAAGACCACGGTTTTCAGTTCAAAGTCATCATTAAGGACAAGGAGGCTAGGCTTGCAACTTGAGTGTCCCGGAATTTCAGCAGGATATAAAGTTTTGGTCAGTAAAAAGTGGATGAATAGTAAAGCAAATGGACGGTGAATTATTAGCAGAACCGAGGAATGGCCAGGTGATGCAAAAGCGCCATTGACAGTAAACGGACCGGTGTTTTAATCCAACTTGCCGATGGATTCTGGTGCCTAAAGGTGCGGGGCATCCTTGTTGAATCATTCTTGGTAACAGATTCCGCATGGTTCTAGTTGTCTGTTGTCCAAGATGTTCGAGAAAGAAGTATAATCCAAAAGATCAGCATCTATCAGTTTACGGTCTAGAGGCGATTTTCCTAGGCATCCAAAGATTGCCAACTGGTGAGGGAGTTAAGTTTTAAAAAAAGCATATGAATAAGTGCAGCAGCCTAGAAAAGCGTGGGATGACAGGAACGAGTAAGAGGGTAGGCCAAAACTAACGAAGAACTTTGTGAAAGAATCTGCAGTGAGCACAATTTTGTTGTTGCTGGATTGCCCTTTACGTATACAAGTTGTTTACGTATTCAAATATTACGTGACCTATAGGCGCATAATTGACCAGGCAAAAAAATGCGGACTTAATTCCCGAAGTTGACAGGTTTAAAGCTCGATTATCGCTTGCTGAGGACGGCAAATGAACGTGAATCCACCGTTCAAACCTGGGTCTACTTTGGGGCCTTCTATAGCTCCCATATCATTCGACCGGTGTGGTCTATATTCCCACTGTCGGCAGACTTTTCTCGTCCCTATTTTCCTTTCTCGTCTTCTTTCCCGTTGCCGCTACGCCTTATTCACCTCTCATTACCTTTATTCTCTCTTCTCCCTCCTTCTGCCTGCCTACTTCATTGCGTTTCAACACCCTTCACTTTGGGTGATTTACGGTGACACAGACTCCATCATGGTCAACACAAACTCCAAAGATTTGCTCAATGCCCTCGCCATTGGTGAGAAGGTAAAACACGAGGTTAACCGGCGCTTCCGCCTGGTGGAACTCGATACTGATGGCGTCTTTGCAGCGATGCTTTTGTTGGCCAAGAAGAAGTATGCAGCCCTCTCCATCGTCAATCCCCTGACGTACGCTGAAAAGCTACGTGCACGGCAGCAGTCCTCTCAGGAGCAGAAGGGCACAGTCGCCGCATTGCCGCCCCCACCCACAAAGGCCGAGTTGAAGGGTCTGGACATTGTGCGTCGCGATTGGTGTCGCCTTGCTGCGGAGGTTGGCAGGGCCTGTGTTTACGCCCTACTCTTAGGCAAGCCAAGTGAACAGGTACTGGACCAGACCCACACGCATTTGCGCATTGTGGCTGAACAAGTTCGTCAAGGCCGTCTACCCCTGACGGAGTTTGTGATTACAAAGGTTCGTCGTGTGCATTCTACTTATTTCATTTTAATGCAATTTTTAGAAGAAGCTGGCTGCTAGAGGAAGGAAAATGGAGAGTGCACCCTTGTTGTGAAATGGACGCAATTATCGGAAAAAATCTTTAAAAACCACAGTCTGGACAAAAGCGAAGATAGCGACTTCATTATCATTGAACCACGTACTTATCGCAAGAACATCAATTTTTTCATTAGCAGAGGATGTGGCCAGCAGACAGTATCAATAATTAACGAGCGTGAATAAAGGAGAAACAGTGCAGTTTCGGTTGGCAAAGTATCTGTTTTCTGTGTTAATGCAGGACAATTTATATGGGCGACTCAATTTCAAGAGCCCGGTAATCCGCTTGGCATACTTAAGTACTTGTCATGTTTCTAAAGCAAAGATAGGACAAGATGGAGACATGTGCTGAAACCTGGTAATTATTCCACATTTTGGAGAACTGGGGTGCTCAATCGTTACAAACGTTAGGCTCACTTCCCCCACGGCTGGAATAGCAAAAAACGGGCTAGCAAAAACTCGAATAAGCAAGCACGGCACTGGCGTTGCCAGTAGCTGGTCATTGAACTGGCGGATCGCTAATTCATTAACAGGAAACAGGCAGATACTGTACTATGACGTAGCTGAAGGTTGTCGGACACCAAATGAGGTTTCCCCCGACTACGCTGTTTTAGGGACCCCTTGTTTTAGCTTCCCCGAAATATCTAACAACGCGCCCAGCTCTGGATTTTGCATTCTGGCCTCAGTTTTAAAGTGCTTACAAGTATTGCGATAAACTAATCCCTTTTTTAACAATATGCCAGTTGTTTGCACTTTCAGGATAAAGGCATTAAATACTTCAAACGGCTAGTCGACACGCTATGCCAGGTGCAGTATATAAAGGAGAAACCAGAAAGCCAACCTATCCTTCTCATAACGTGGAAAACAAATTATGCAGTACGTGGAAGCGATATGCCTTTGTAGGTAATCCTATAAAAAAAACCTATCAGCCAAACTGTTGGCGATAGTAAAGAAGAAATGAAAGCGGAGGACAATTCAGCCCACCAGGTTGGTTTTTCGAATCTTCGTACGCATCGAACCAAAAGAAATTGAGCCTTTCGTTGTCCTTTTCGTCGGTGTAATCCAACGCCGAAAGGCCATTCTCTCCATCGGCCACTTCGCCTTCTTCAGCCATCCAGGGAGCTACGACGTCGGCTGAAGTCACGGTCGAAGGTTCACCCTCGCTATCGTCGTCATCTTCCAGACAAGAGGAAAACTCATCGGTGGCCGCGACCATCTCTTTTTCATTTTCAGGCACCTGCATCACCAAACTCCCTTCTGGCTCTTTCGTCAAATCCATGGGTTCGGGTTTGGGTTGAGAAGAGGAGGCTGGGGAGTAAAGAAGTGATGATGAGGGGTTGATTAACCAAGGTAACCATTCTTCCCAGACCTCAGGCACTTAAATAGGGCAACTTTATTCTTCTTCCTCTGCTTCAGTGGAGAACTTCAAACAATAGGTTCATTTCAGAAGCACGGAGGTAGTAGGAGTCTAACTTAAGATTTCAAGTGAAATTGCATCTGACACCTGTCAACTGGACATTGAGGAAGATTACACGCGGAGGCAGCAAATTTCAGTAGGCCTACTTGTAAGCTTTCTGGCCATCAGAAGATGGTGAATAAAATTGAAAACGGAGCCGCACACAAAAGCTTTCCATGTGACTGTTAACATTCCCAGTGAAAAATGTCTCGGAGTACATGACAAACAAGGAGTCCTCATGCCTGTGAGTTCCGAGGGGAATTTCCCTCTTTGACATGTTGTCTCAACGGCTCGAAACTAAATCTACTATTGCAGTCGACCAAAATAGACGCGAATGATGTTTCAGGATGCTCCGGGAGGACTGGAAAGGCAGAAGAAATAGGGCTTTGAAGAAGAGGATGTGAGCAGCACAGACTGCGATGGGAGACCGCTGAGGTAAGAGTTATCAGACTACTGTTCGGACAGGCAAGCAGATCCTCGTTGGTTTTCATACAATGAGGCATCAAATCACCCGAGAGGCTTTGTGATGTCCGGATTTTCTCCAATTCTGGTTCTTGTAAAGGCTTTATTTTGAACTAGTCAAGGCACCTTTTAAAGTTCGTAAAAAATTGTTCAAGAAATTACAACAGGTCTTCAATTAGGCAGGCAGGTCTGGCTATCAGCATAATTGCTGGTTACTCGGCGCGCCTATTGATGATAGACAGAGGAGCGGCTGTAATATAAGCAGGCTTGCGTGGCAAATAGATTGTCGCTAATCAACAAAGGCGATTCTACCAGGGCGTGGATGGCTGTGATCTGGCACAGATTGCTCTACAAAATATCCTAAGACTTGGTGACAGTGCTGATACCTGATAACTGTAAAACTGCAGTCTTATAGTTAGGTTCTTATTGGCCAAAGTTCTAGAGGAGACTACCTGGCACAAAAGAGTCAGGCAGTTAATTGAGGTCCACTTGTACTGAACGCTGCCAAGAAACACGACAATTTAGGACGTCAGATTATGCATGGTTAGAGTCACGTCACTAACAACTACAACGACGCTCATTCAACAATAAAAGTTTAGAGTTGCGAAAATTCCCATAGCAGTAATCAGACGACGAGGTGGCGAGCATACGTAGCTTTCGATAAATTCTCGTCGGGCCAGTACAGTTATATGAGAACGGGGTAGAAGAAAAACACGTCAGCGATAAGAAAATCGATAAAAGTTCTACTTAAAACACGGGCGGGGTGTGGGAATGTGGGGAGGGGGGTGGGGTGGGTAATAGCAGTCATTGTCAGGGGCGGGGTGAGAGCGGAAGGGCGCGAAGTGTAGCAGCGTTAGTCGACCTTCGACCACTGTAGGCGCGGAGCCTGAAAGTTTACTCAAACGATGTCCTAATACCGATAGTAATAGTAATAACAGTAACAATAATTCTTGCGCCGTGGCATGCTGACTTTCCGGTCACCCAAGACGAAATTTTCGCCTTGCTTCTCAGTGCCCATATCCCGTCCACTAATATGCACAAAAAGGATTTACAAAATCCAATTCTAAAGGCCTTCTGCCAGTGGTTTCACCGTCTAGCGAATGAATGTCCAAAAGTGCAGAATAGTCAGGAACTAAAAATGTCGTTGCGAAGCGCTGACATGTATACACTGATTTCTTAGTGGTAACTAGTTATTCCGGACCTGCCATAGCACCCACCGGGTCTTAAGAAGTTTCTGCGCAGCAAAGTGAAAATACTTATGGAATGTTCCAGATACCTCGGTGGTCTTAAGACTATGCAAAAGCTCGAGTGGCGCCTTAAATTGTGACAGAATAAAATGACTTTCTCAAAATCGGAATATCCTGTGGTTTCTAATATAAGCTGTCCAGAAAAGAATGCCGCACGAATAACTTTTAACTAATCAATATTCTGAGCTCTTTTCAAAAAGTAACAGACTTGGAATATGCAACAGAAAACGTGAACTAAATAAAGTACACGGAGTGCTTTCTTGAGAGCGGGACTGGCGAAGGCTGCTGGGACGATTTTCAAGTACCCACCTACTTAAGTATTTCCTTTAGTCGCGAACACTCATAAGGAGTCCCACCAATGTTTTCTGCTTTAAGTTGTGAGCGGGATGAACCGAAAATGACAATTAACGACCACCAGGCACTATACTCAGTCAGGAGAGGAGGAAATGTAAAAACTCACTGCTTGAATTCTGGGATGTTCTTGTGACCCTGTTCGATGCATTTGGTGGCGGCAATGTTGGGCGTTTGGCGGCAGGTTGAGAGAATGAAACGCGCTCCGTACACTTAGCATCATCATCCCGGTCGTCTCCCACCCGCCTTACTGGCTTTTTCAGGGAGAAAGGGTTCTTCCGCGTCTCCTTATGTGTTGAAAGCGTCGTCGGTGGGGTAGTTGTCACCGAAACGGTCCTCTTGCTTTTCTTCTGCTCTGAATGAGTCCTTCTTGCCGATGTGGGAGGCGCGCTAGGCCGCCTGGTAGCAGTTCCGCCTACTATTTCAGCGAGAAGATCATCCAGCGCGGCATCATCTGTCTTTGAATTGCCTGGTTTGCCAGCCTGAATTGGTCATAACGTAATTAAGAGTGGCAATATCAAAACATGTGAGAGGTAGTTGGGTGATCACTGATAGATGTGGGGCCCATTGGTCTATGCTGATTAGAAGGAATGCGGGTGTTCCTTTGCTTAGGGACTCTGGTCCAAAGGGGATACCGACGAGAAATCGCCTCCCACCAATATAACTAACAAAAACAGGAGCGACTTAAATGCTCATTTCTGGTTTACTTGTCGTTTTCTGGCGGTCAGTCCAACTCCAGGAAGCAAAGACTATCGGTTATAGATTTAGCTTATTTGTCTGTCCTAAATGCAACAGTTTTAACACGACTCGAATCAGGTAAGGTTAGTGAATTCCACTTTCGTGTGACTGTATTAACTGTGCGTGTGACAGGAATTGGGTCCATGGCTCATTTGGCAGAACACCTAGCTTAATGATCAATTAAAAAGACTAGTATCCTCGGCCTGGGATAGGGGTATGGCCGGCTGATGACAAAAATCCAGACATGATCGTTCGAATGGCGCTCTTCTAGATTACTGACTTCGTGGTTATAGGTTTCCTCGGCGCAAATGGTGGATGAGATGTACGAAGAGCTCATTGTAAGCACCTAAGACAGGTGAGAGAGGCGATTTCTTCATACTAATATCCGGTTTAACAGTTGCACATGGAAAGTTGCGAAAGATTCTCTTCGCTAGTGAAAATAGGATAATTTGGCATAAAAATGTCCATAAATCAATGTCCCAAACTGTAAATTAAAAAATTGAACGTGAAAATGTGATAGTCCGGAGGACCTCAGTCGGGTAATAGGACTCCATATAAGTATCTTTAAATCAGTGTTTAGGAATTCGAATCTTCAAAAAACCCTACGCAGACGATTTCGGCCAAAAGTAACACATGCATGAAGTAAGTAAACTTTTTTAATAGTAATGAACACAATAAATCGTAGAGTTACCATTAACCCTTACGTTTGGCTTGGACTTTTGGGATGCACTCGTGGCAAACATGTTTCGGATATCCTTGGTGCCAGACGCGTGGAGCTTAGGAGCTTGAGGTGAAGCGCGGATATCCGGGTTCAGTCGTTTCTTGGGAACTGACTGACGGGAACGCTTTGTTGAAGGACTACCTTCCGCATCGCCATCGTGGTCATCAAAAATCTCACGACCGTCATCAGCGTATCCAAGGCCCTCTGGGAGTGCAAATACGAGTTTCAAGGAACATGAGTTTCATAAATCTAACGGAATATCTTCCAAAACAATGCGGTCAATCGGCGATCACTTATGGGCAGTACGGAAATGTTAAGAACAGATTTAGAAACGGAAATGAATTGGCTGGAACGTGCAGGTGCATTAACCCTGACCAGCCCTGCGCCGACTGCTGAGATTCGGCTGCTTGTATGAGGCTGGTTACCTGGTCAGCTGTCGGGGCACAACTGACCTGTGACAGGCAGATTGTGCCCTCGCGTACTGTCTGGAAGAGGCAGCCAATCACAAAACCAGTCACAGACTAACAGTAGGAGCTAACCCTTCGTAAGTGCGATGTTATCAGGGAGGAGGAGAAAATGGGTGAGAGCGATCTTGATACTCACCATCATCAACAATCCAATCATCCTCTAAACGTTCCTGGACTATCCTTGAGTATGTTTTTTCGTCCACTGTCTCATAAATGGGCTTTTCTTCTGTTTCCTATGTACATTAAAAAAATACAACCGATTTCTCACCACGACAAACCGCTCGCCCCGCTGTTTTGCCTCCTTGATTTTGCGCAGTAGTTCAAGTTTATTTGATTTCACGGAACTGACGCGACGCCGCCTAGCTTGATCTATAAGTTGGCAATTAGAAACCAAGGCATTATACCCTCCATCCTGGAAAAATTCACGACCTGTCGCAGAACGATTGGTCAGTGGCTGAAATTTCTAAACGTACCAATTTCAGGTGCATTTAAACAAAGAAAGCCGCAGCCACCATTGTAGCGTCCGTTCCAGATGGGCCAGTAGGGGACGAAGCGATATTGGATGGGGATAGCCTCCTGTTCTTTACAACCTGAGGATTAACTTGAGGATCTGAACATGGAACGTCCAACATTCTTCACAGACAGACTCAAGCACATCAGAGTTGGGCGTTAGGAGGTGGAAAGAGTGTAGATAGGTGCCGAAGATTAGATTTATTGTAACAGAGTATATAAACGTGAGTAACGTCAGTAGAAAGTGGATAACGAATTGAACATAGGAACTAACAAGGTAGATGACATCAAGGAGGTATGTACATACATCAAGGTAAAGGGTTAACCCAGGAAAAGAAAAAGGGTGCAAAACAAAAGGTAACAATGATCAACAAAAGAACAAACATGTAACAAACGAGGGCGGGGCTTATCGGGTACACGAATCAGCGGCTTTGATCGCGTCCACGTGGTGAGCTTGGGCCGGGGTTTTCTACAAGATCAGTATTCACTTGATTAGTAAAACAAGGTTATACCCCTATGCTCTATTTTGGCCGTTACACCATAGACCAAAACAATCGGAATTTGAAAGAAGGCACAAGCTTATGGAAGCGAATAGACGAGTCCCAGGCAGCAGTCTTGCAGAAGGAGACATGATCGCTGAAACAAGAGCCTTATTAGTCTGACGTTTCGGATTCCTGCTCGAAACCATCATCCGAGACAACTGCAGATCCTGCTGTAGTCTGCTGTTGTCTTTGATGATGGTTTCGAGCAGGAATCCGAAACGTCAGGCAAATAAAGCTCTTGTCCCAGCGATCGTGTCTCCTTCTTCGAGGCACAGGCCTATTAAAAGGACTTGCTCAACAGGATTATTTAACCAGCGATAAGATGAAGAACGACAATGATGAAGTGTCCATTTCTTGCTCGGTAGATTACGGGACGTCACATATAGGGTACTCAAAGGCTTACGCCAACTTCCTTCAATAAACTGAACTGAACTGAACGGAGCAATCAGCCACTGTTAAATGCAGGTGATATTCGGAGGAGGCTTTAACAAAGCAGAAGCTGATGGCGTAAGATGGCCTAGATGAACGTGGCTTCTAAAGCAAAAGCGGGACATGCGCACCACAGAAGGATCTTTTTCTTAGACATTTTGTAGCCTGTAGAAGTTCGAAGGCGTTCGCTTCTCTTTCCCCTAATATAGATTAAAATTGAACGGGACGAATCCGCAAAAATGCAAGTAGACGAGACCAAAAGAAAGTTCAGGTGAACAACGACTAAAACAGGAAATCTAGCTTACTCCTCCCATGCTCGTTAATGTAAGATCATCGCCCATCTAAATATGATTAGATAAACGAAATACCAACGCTAGTCAGCCGTAGTTGTCTCAGCACTTTGTGCAACTCATTTCCTCAACCACCAGATTTACAGGGAAGGGGAAATTAGGGATTATGCGGACGGTGCTGAGGAAATGACATGTTTAAATGCATTAACGGCTATCACATATAAGTCAGTTTAAATGATTTTATTAAGGGAACTAGGTTTTCGCCCTTGAGTCCCCTATTCGTATCGATAAACATAAATGGAGTCGATTGTTACATCAGCAAATGTGGAAATTCAAAGGTTAACGGTAAGTGTAGGTCAGGCGCCAGACTGCCGTCTATAAAACAATCCTGATTATATGTGCATTGGTTTTTCAGAAAATGAGTGTCTGGCCTACACTTAAAGGATTTAGTAGCTTCGGAAGGAACCACCTCATCAAGGAATCCGTTCCATACTCCAATGACCCTCAGCGAGAAGACGTCCCGTCGGACGTCTGTATGGGCCAGCTTTCTCTGCAGTTTAAGGAAACTACCACGCAGACGGTCCATCCTAGCCAGTTCGAAGAATTCCTCAAAGTCTAAGGCGCACTCACGGCGTCTGGCAATCTTGTGGGTTTGAATGAGGTCGCCGCGCTGTTGCCTGTAATTGGGAGGAAACCGATTTAGTTTGGCCAGTCTGGTTTCGTGAGGCAGACGGCCAAGACTCTTGACCATCTCCGTAGGCCTCACCTCCATTCTTTCCATTTGTTGATAATCTTTCTTCAACCACGGTCGCCAGGCTTGGACTGCATGCTCTAAGTTGGGCCCAACGAATGTTCCCTAGGTTTTCCCGAACAGCTCTTTATCGGTCTGCAAAAGTCCTCGCCTCAGTGCAAATAACACCCGCATCGCGCGTATGGCTGACGTTTGACACTGGGGGGATGGTTTTAGCGAGGAGGTCATTAGGACGCCGAGGTCTTTCTGTTCCACATCATTTGAAAGTGGCTGCCCGTCAAGGACGTATTGAAAGGAATCATCCTCCTTACTGGTCTTTTTGGTGCGGAGTATCAGGACCACAGTTTGTCCACGTTAAAATTAAGGAGCCAACGAGCTGGCCAATTGCTCAGGCGGTTGAGATTGTCTTGAAGTGTCTACGTTTCTGCGTCAGATCTGCTGGCCCTCCACAGTTTAACATCGTCAGCAAACATGACGGCGTCGTATTCCAGGTGGCCGACGCAGTCGTTAATGTAAAGTGGGAATAGTAGCGGCCCTAAGACTGAGCCCTCGGGGATACCACTTAGAACGTGGGTTGGAGTTTACCTCGAGGCCACAACGCACACGGTTTGTGATCTCCCTGTAATAAAATTCGGTATCCATATCAGCAGCTTTCCTCTGATGCCAATTTCTGAGAGTTTGAAGATAAAGCGCTTGTGTGACATGCTGTCGAACGCCTTCTTGAAGTGTGTGTGGATGACAACGACCCTACCATCTTCGTCCAGTGCGCGAGTCCACTGCTCAGCTGAGAGCAATAAACTGGAGAGGTAGGAGCGGTTCTGTCTAAAGCCGTGCTGCAGGTTTGAAAGTAAGAGGTTCTGCTCCAGGAACTTCATTGTTGCGTTCTTAACTATGGCTTCCATTATTTTACTACAGATGCACGTGCGACTAACAGGCCGGTAATTGTTAACACTAGTGCGAGCCCCACCATTGTATATCGGAAAGACGTTTGCTGCCTTCCGTTCGGAAGGCAGCCTCCCTAATTCGAACGACGAACGGAAGATGTGTGCTAATGGGTTGGAGAGTTCGTTAGTCAATTTTTTCAAGGAATTGGCTGGCATATTGTCGGGACCCGATGACTTTTCATTTTCGAGATTTTGTATTTCCCTTTCCACGACAGATACCGGGAAGAGTATGGAATCAAGCTCAGGACCAGCGGTCTCAGCAGCATTCCTGATACTGCGACTACGAAATTCCGTTGCCCTAGTAAAAACCAGACAAAGTACTGTCCTAAGTGCTCGGCTTTCTCGCTGTTCTCAACGACTTCTGCACCATTATCATCCTTCAGTACAGCGACAAGATGCTTGTTTTTCAGTCCACTGTTGGTATTGTGAGAATAAATCTTGGGCTTCTGTCCAGCCAGTCCGATAATTCTGGATTCATACTCCTTCCCTACCTGATGGGTGCGTTTTTGACTGTAATTCGTTGACGGTGAAATTCGCCGAAATGCACTGGTAACCCAGAGAGATGGGTCAAGCAGTGATTTTATAGGTGACACTGTAAAGCATTAAGAAAATGTAGCAAAATTAAGAAAGGATGGAGATAATGCTATGGATCTAAACTATCTGTAAGCGTGAATCTAAACAGAGAAATAAACACAACGGGCAAAGATAACCCTAGTGCTGACCGTCAACTGCCTAATAATACTCGCACTCCAACAATGAATCAAGCAGTATCTACCAAATGTTATCAACAACCCCACCCAATCTAACATATTTTTATCACATAAAGGTCTGGTGATAGTCAGTGGCAGACAAGAAGGGGAAACTGACACGGGGGGAGTGGTGTTTTGTATGTGCTTGTGTTCTTTTTTAATCGTGATAGATATTTATGCAAAGTTTTATTGTGCAGTTAAGGTGGTTTTTCGCATATCCGAGAAACTGCTGATGCCCCATTGGACGTCCCAGGCATAAATGACCAGACCCTACGCCCAGACAAATTAAGAAAGCATCCAAATATGTATCGGTTCCATTGCTGCATTGCATGCTACAGAAAAAAGAAATATTTGCCCGACAACTGAACTGCAAATCTACAAACTGCAGCAGACACTTTAAATCAATCCACTTTAGAAATTATACCAGCCCTACAGGGAGCAGGCATGCCTGCAGTTCGACCGTCGTTGCCGACGAAATCCGCCTTGTGCTCCACAACAGGGCGAGCCCATGGACGGTGACTTGAGCGTGAGTTAGTTCATAGTGCTAGTATACTCGCGCTGCGTCTACCGTACTCTAACTCTTCTGGGCCCGGTGCCAATGCAGTCAATAAGACCGGTGACGGGATTGGACGAGTTGACTGAGGACGCTGAGAAGCTCGTCTGCATACGCCATGCACCCCTGTCCCGCGCTTGATGGACCAGGTTCTCACACAACAAGAAATGAAGGATGCTCGGATATGATAAGATAGGTTTTTTATAGCACCTCTTGGGCACTGTCAGTCTCCTTTGAGTCCAGAAAAAAACCTAGATCACACTCCTCCATTTCGGCTGCAGTTTGACTTCATTTATTTTGGATGCTTGCTTAGTCAGTAGGGCGCGAATCGTGAGTCGGTTACAAGTTAAAAAGCTGTGTTCCAAGGTAAATTAACAGCAAGAGTTAGAAAAAAGAACTATATTGGCAACACAGACGTTGAAGTTTGGAGTCTGGTAGTTTTTGGGGTCATGAATAGGTCGTACTTCGTGGAACTTAAGGAACTTTGGCATCGGCCTGACATGGAATTTATTGCCGGGTTGAATAAGTTGTCTACCAGTTGCCGTGTAACAGCGGGCGGTTATTTTATGAGGGGGAAGAAGAATAAGGCGCGAGGTAGAAGAGTGTTGCGTGACTCTAAGTGTCCTTTTTACTGTCCATTTTA